GAGTTAAGGCTCCCACACAGTGATGGGCCCCACAACTTGACCTCTTTAGCACTGGGTTCCAGCTAGCTGATGGTCTAAACTGACTTTTTAAAAATAATATTTTTATTGATTTTTTTTTTGGTTTTTAGATCACTTTCATGTCTGAAAATATATTTTCCTCCTCTCCTATGCACTGAACCATCCTTTGTAAAAAATATTTTGGTTGGTTGTCTTTTGTTCTTGAAGAGGACCAAAATGACATCACTATGTTAGGGGTCAAGGTACAGTCTGTCTGACTGTAGCCGATCAGATTGGAGCATGGAGGGCTCTACCACAAGTCTGGCACAAAAAATATTTTTTAAAAAGGGGAAAAAAGCAGTTCAGCAAAACAAATCAAAGCATCAACTGTCTGACAGTATGTACATTATTAGTAATAATAGCTAGCATTTATAGAGTGCTTTGAGGTTAGCAAAGTTCTTTGTATATCTTATCTCATTTGATCTTCACTACAACCCTGAGGTAGATACCCATTTTACGGATGAGGAAACTGAAACTGAGAAAGGTTGAGTGACTTACCCAGAGTTAAATGGCTAGGAAGTATCTGAGGCAGGGTTCCAACTCAGAAACTTCCTGACTCCAAGCCTTGCACTTGGATTGTTTATTATCCACTATATGACACCTACTTATAAGTCCCCACCTTTTTAAAGAGACAGAGTTGCCTTTTCTCAACTCTCTTAAGGACTTTTAAGGACTTAACTTGCACGTGATGGCATAGGTAAACTGAGTCTTGTAAAATCCTCTCATTTGCCGTGTTGATTCTCGTGTGAACCCAGAAAACCACAGTCATCCTCAGCTTTTTTTTTTCCCCTTGGAGTGGGATGGGGAGGGAAGATGTTATACTTGTTTCTATATTTTTGGTGTCAGGTATTGGATTCCTTCATATGCTCCACCCCCAACCCGTTCTTTGATGCCTGGGTCTAGGAAGCCACACACTTCTTCCAACCTCTAGAAGCAGCTATGAGCACAGGAAAGGGTTTAGTTGACTAAAGGAAGAACTGTCATCTTGCCTAGTCAACCAGGAATTCAGCCTTTGTCTCCAGGTAGGTCTGGGAGGAACCAAGCGAAGAATTTGTTGGCTTCAAATAAAATAATTGCCATCTGCTAAAGATCAAAGGAAAATAGATATAGAGCTAAAAGGGACCTTAGAGGCCGTATAGTCAGATTTCCTCTTTTTACAGATGAGGAAACAATCCCAGAGAGGTGAAGAGACTTCTGCTTAAATAGTAAGTGGAAGAGGAGAGATTTAAATGTTTCATTCAGGATAGGATAAGTTATGCTCTTAAGGTATGCCCTCAGGTTTGCCTCCCTTTTTCAGCAACTACATTTAAATCTAGCCTCTCAGTCCTCCACCATTACCTGTGAGACCTTGGGCAATTCATTTCCCTTTTCTAGGCCTTGGTGTTCCCATTTGTAAAATGAAGGGATTGGAAGAGCTGATCCAGCTCCAATATTTTCTGGTTCTTTTCTTCAGTTGAAGTCCTGAGCATTTGATTTTCACACCTTTCAGATAAGCTGGCATGTTTGGTTTGCCTGCACTTGGCTACCTGAGACAGAGGAGGTCTTCTGAATACCTGGTAGAATCACTGGGATGCAGAAATCCACAGTCTTTAGGTGGAGATGAGGCTGCCTAAGCACAGCAAAGAACACAACTGTGAAGGCAAGGCTATTCTCCAGAAGTTCCAAAATGGTCTCTAGTCACCTATGTGACCCAAAAGGGGAAGTTTTTGATTAGTCCTGTGGTGGGTGTTTTTTTTCCCCATGCGTCTGCACTAGCTTAATACATATAGACCCTTTAAGTAGCTAGTCCCAAGTGGAGGCTATTGGTAATAACTAGGTGAATGTAGTCAGTGCATTTGTACTGGACACAGCAAATTTGGGGGATTGAAGAACCCCCGTGTTTTCCATATTTAAGAAAACCTGCACCAACACTGGAATCAATCTCATTTCATCTCTCCTGGGACTGTGGGAGACAGAAGGCAGTGGAAGCAGATCTTGGGAATTTTGTTCCAGATCTGAGTAACTAAACTCACTAGTGGTAAAGATGAGATAAAGGTTTACATGCCTTTTGTCCCAATAAAAGCCCTTCAAGAGGGACCACCTATGCAGGGAAGATGCTGACTCTGTGACCCATTCAAGGAGGGAGAAGTGTGGGCTTTGTGCCACATGGGCTGACTCAGGGCACACTCCCAACAAATGAAAACATTAATTAATAACACTTATAATTTCTACTGTATCAGTTTTACAATTTAATTGATGTTATACTGTATTAATTTTTATAGTTGACATAGTATCTGCTTAAAGCCACCTTTCTATGGCCTTGAGTTAAGCTCAGGAATTTAGCTTTCCCTCTAACTTAGTTTAATAGTATAATTAAAAGAAAGGTTGCTATTGCTTATACCACTAGACCCTGTTTGATTTCTTTAAGCCCCAACAAGTTAACTTGGTGGCATCCCCCAAAAGATGTCATCTATCCTTGTACAATTAGGGGAGATTTTATCTCCTCCAAGGGGACAGCAAGTCTGGTAGTTTTGATCTCCTAGCAAAGATTATAAGAGGCAGATTTAGGTCCCATAAAACAGTGAATATTCCTTAATTGTCAGACAAGCATGTGATAACCTCACCTGAATGCCAGCCTGCTTTTTTTTTCAGCATAGCCAATTGTAATCTTCCACAACTGCTGAGACCCCCTTTTTTCTAGTGTGTCAATAAAGAAGGTCCCCCCTTCTCACTGGGGTCACTGGCTTTACTGAGGTGGCCAGTCTGATCTACTTTGTTACTGTTAATGTCACTGTTAATAAACTGATCTTGCTTGAAGTATGTACCTCAGTCTAACTTTATTGAATTTACTTGGGATACCATTTAGTTCCCATAGTGGAGCTAGAAGCAGCTCTTTCCTTTTTCCCAAAATCTTCTTAGTTTTCCCTCAGCAGTGTGTATATGTGGATGTCCCTCTCCTTCCCCCAAACAACTTCATGACTTATCCCCTTGGGGTCAGTCCAAGGACAGAGGAAAGACAGGTTAGAGCTAACCACTGTGGCCTTTCAAATCCACCTACAGCAGGGCCTGAAAAGAGAGGGGCATAACAGTTTGGGTTCATTAAAAAGAAACAATTTGCAGGAAGGTGCACACATAGTTAGGACACTATAGGAAAAAGCAGAAGAGTGATTGATAAAGTTGGACAAAGTCTGACTCAGGAGGGGAAACTAAAGAAACAAAACAAAACAAAAATGCCACCTCTACTGTCTTTCTTGATTCTTCATGTTGGAAATTTGTGTTTGAGTGTGTACCTTTCATATTTTGAGAACTTGGCACAAAGCACTTGGGGTTAGATGAACTGAGTTCAAATTCTGCCATTGCTGTTTGACCTTACGTTAGCTTCTTTATTTTTGTGGACCTGTTTCTTCAGATATAAAATGAGGGGACTGATCTAGATGATCTTTGAGGTCATCTAGTTCTGATATTGTATGAGTCTATGTATCTGCCATCTTAATCCAAGTTCAGTTTTTTTGTCTCTGAAGTGATGACATGGAAGTGTGTCATCTATCAGGCTGAGGGCATTTATATTGCTTCTTGTCCTTTTGGAATGTGATTCTCACACCTTTCAGGACACTTTCAGGACAGACTGGCGCTGTCTGTCCACACTTGGCTACCTGAGACAGGGGATCCTTTGAGTACTTGCAATATAGAAACTACAATCCCCGGGCTGAGGTGACGATGTCTGAACACAGCAAAGAACATAACTGTGAAATCAGATTTGTTCCCCTCTTCAGAATGATTTCTAGTCACAGTTAGGTGGCTCAGTGGATAAGAGTGCTGGGCTTGGAGCCAGGAAGACCAAGGTTCAAATCAAACCTTAGACACATACTGCCCTGTAACCTTGAGCAATTCACTTAACACTAATTGCCTCAGTTTTCTCATTTGTAAAATGAGCTGGGAAAGGAAATGGCAAACCAGTATCTTTGCCAAGAAAACCCCAAATGGGGTCAAGAAGAGTTGGACACGGATGAACAACAAAAAAATATGTTGTATGAGTTTATGTATCTGCCATCATAATCCAAGTTCAGCTTTTTTGTCTCTTAAGTAACAATGATGCCATGGGAGTATGACATGTCAGACTTGGGGCATTTATATTGCTTCTTGTCCTTTTGGAATGTGCATGTGATTATCTAACACCTTCCAGGACACTTTCAGGACAGACTTGCATTGTCTGTGCACACACACTTGGTGATCCCGGGCAAGTCATGTAACATGTCTGCCCAGTGTCTTCATCTGTAAAATGGAAATAATAATAGCACCGTTTCCCAGGATCGTTGTGAGATTAACATATGATATTCGTAAAGCGCTTTGCAAACCATATGATTATTATTTTGGCTACAATCAAATGAGTTGTGAAAGAAAACAGGAACTGAAGATAACAAGGTTGGAATTAACTACAATCTTTACAGAGGGACGGGGCTGGGGGGAGGTGGTGGGGTGGGGGATCAGAGAAATCTAAATTTTAAAATGTAGACGCCAAGGCCAATTTCGGACTGATCAGAAAAGGAAATCAAATCACCATATTCCATTCTCCCCAGAGCATTTTGCAACTAGCTGGCGAGAAAAAGGGAAGGGTCTGGAGGGGAGGGCCGGGAGAGAGTGGAAATGAATCTGAGGGGGTGGGGGGAAGAGGAGGGTAAGGGTGGAGCTAGAGGAGAATGGTGATGTCATGGGCGAGAGGAAGGGACGGCGGGGACTCAGGGTAAAAATTAATCTGAGGGTGCAGGAGGAGAGGAAGGGCGGGGCGGGGCTAGAATAGGAATGGACCGTAAGGGGGCGTGGCCAGAAGGAGAAATGACCGTGAGGAGGCGGGGCGAGATGAGGGGAGGGCGGGGCTAGAGTTTCCGTGGATTGAGGGGGCGGGACTAAAGGATAGAAAAGAAGGAGAAGACTGAGCGAGAGGAAAGAGGCTGTCCTGACGCAAAGAACTGGGCCTGACCCATGGCGCGCCTGTTTCTAAATTCCAGCAAATTTCGCCATTTAGGTTATTTTTCTCGAGAGTTTCCACTCTCTAAGCGCATTTGCATCTCTAACCTTCCCCTCCTCTGTTTTCGTACAGTCCGAATCGCGAGAAAGCGTGACGCCGAATGTTCAGGCGGAGCCTTGGACGCCTCTGAGAAGAGTCAGTCTTTTGCCACGGGGCCTCAGCCACCGCCAAAATTCAAAAGAAACGGTAAGTGCGGCCTCCGGGGCTGGCGGGAACCTGTGAGTCTGTCCGCCCTTCTCGGGGCGTTCTTGGTTCTCTTGAGTCAGACCGTTTGTCCCGGGGTCGGTTCGGGGCTCACCTTCCAGCCCCGCCCACCACGCGCTGCCAGGTACCGGTGGCCCAGGGACGGGAGGGAGGCCTGGTCCGGCAGGGCTGGAGGCGAGGCGGGAGTGTGTTTGTGTTTGTGTGTGTGCGCGCGAGTGGGTGTAGATGTCCGGAACTTAGCGGAGCGGGGTGAGAGTGTGGACGGCTGGATGTCAGGGATCTGGGGGGTGAGAGCTTGCGTGTGCGTGTGTGTGTGCGCGTGCGTGAGATCCCAGAAGGCGGGGAGAGAGTGTGTACGCGTGTGGGTGCAGATGTCATGAACATAGACGGTAGGAGTGTGGGCGTATTTGTGGGAAGAGATGTGGAGACTCAGAGGGGTAGAGAATGTGTATAGGTTTAGATGTTAGGGACTCGGTGCAGTGCCTGCTGGCACATAGTAGGCGTTTAATAAATGCATCTTGAGAGGGAAAATGAATATATGTTGGTAGACATAAATATGTTTGTGTGTGTGTGTGTGTGGTGTGTGTGAGATCCCAGAAGGCGGGGAGAGAGTGTGTACGCGTGTGGGTGCAGATGTCATGAACATAGACGGTAGGAATGTGGGTGTATATGTAGGAGGAGATGTGGAGGCTCAGAGTAGTAGAGAATATGTATAGGTTTAGATGTTAGGGACTCGGCGCAGTGCCTGCTGGCACATAGTAGGCATTTAACAAATGCATCTTGAGGGGGAGAATGAATCCGTGTTGGTAGACATAAATGTGTGTGTGTGTGATCACTGAAGACGGGGAGAGAGTGTGTATGCGTGTGGGTGCGGATGTCATGAACATACACGGTAGGAGTGTGGGTATATTTGTAGGTGGAGAAGTGGAGACTCAGAGGGTAGAGAATGTGTATAGGTTTAGATGTTAGGGACTCGGCACAGTGCCTGCTGGCACAGAGTAGGCATTTAATAAATGCATCTTGAGAGGGAAAATGAATACATGTTGGTAGACATAAATGTGTGTGTGTGTATGTGAGAGAGAGAGAGAGCACATATTGATGATGTAGTTGTCAAGAATCCATTCATAAAGTGGCAGAAGTTGAACTGTGAGGATTTATTTTGTTTTAAAGGAAATCTCTCCCTTGCTGAGGAGACAGACTTAGACTCATTGTCCGAGCTAGGAAGGGACCACAAAGATTGTCTAGTGCCTAGACCTTAGTCCGACTCCTCTAGTTTTTACAGGTGACAATAACTGAGACCCAGAGCGGGGAAGTGACTTGGTCATGGCTGTAAAGCAACTATGTGGCAGAGCCTGGAAGCTAGACCTTCTGTCTCACCTAGACCCTGTGCTCTTTGCAGTAATTTTTCTTGAATAAACTGGTATTTTGGAGAGAGCATTAGATTTGGAGTCAAGACTTGATTTCCAGTTCTGGCTCTGTTTTTTCCTACATTTGTCAACTCCGGGAAGTCACTGAGGTGTATAAGGTGTGTGACGTACACTGCTATGAGAGAACATAGGAAAACAAACAGCTGAGTGGACTAAATTTAATCCCACAAAATTATAGAGGTTGATGTCAGTCCTTTAGATAGGTTGGTGTTTCAACTGTGTGATGACATTCTCAGCTTTAGACTTTTACTTCTTTGCTTGACTCATTTACTTTCTTTGTGCTGTTTCTGATCCACAGAACTGATTGGTGACCCATTTGGTCTCTTCCGGAGGTTCGCTGCCCTCTTTCAAGACAGTAGTGAAAATGCATATCAAGTCCATTATTCTTGAGGGATTTAAATCCTATGCCCAAAGGACAGAAGTCAATGGCTTTGATCCCCTATTTAATGCCATCACAGGCTTAAATGGTAGTGGTAAATCTAACATATTGGATTCCATCTGCTTCTTGCTGGGTATCTCCAACCTATCTCAGGTAAAGTAGAAGTACTTGACCATCACTTGGGGGACAGTCAAGTTTGGATTGTTATGTGGCATGCTATCACTGTCCCCACCCTTTTTTGTATTTTTATATTACATTTGCATATTTTTCCTTAAAAACCTTGTCTTCGAGGGGAGGTATGACTGCCTGTGAGCTTGGTTGAAGTAGTTCATTGTACTTGGAGTCAGGAAAATGTAGGTTCTAATTTTGCTTCAGACATTGTGTGACCCAGGGTAAGACGCTTAAGCTCTGATCCTCAATTTCCTCACACTGTAAAACAGATATCAGAATGTGTTTCTGAGTGTTTATGAGGATCTAATAATATTATACATGTGAAAACTTTGAAGCAATATATACATCAGCTATTATTACTGCAATATCCTCCTAATTGGTCTTCAAGCCTCAAGATTTTACTTTCTCTAATCCATCCTCCACATAGCCAGAATGATAATCTTCCTTAAGTGCAAGTCTGAACATATTCTCCTACTCATTATTACTTCCGGTAGCTTTCTTGTTACTTCTGGGATCAAATATAAAGTCTGCCTTTTAGTTTTAAAGCCCTTGAAAACCTTTTCCCAATCTACTTTTTCAACCTTCTTAGACATTACTCTATCTACTTTATGTACTCTGTTCCAATCATACTGGCATTCCTGCTCTTCCTTGCACATGGGACAGCCTTTCTCCTGCTCCTGCGTCTTTGCACTGGTGATTCTTTATCCTTGGATTGCACTCATCTCACTTCCTTCAAAACTTTGCTTCAGAACTCTGCTAGAATAATGAGAAGCTCTTCTGATCCCCTAGCTGCTGGTGTTTCCCACTCCCTTAATATTTACCTTGTATTTTGTATATATTTGTTATGTGCATGTTGTCTCAGTCAGTAGAACATAAGTTGCTTTAGAGTAGTGACTTCTATTTTTTGTCTTTGTATCCCTAGTATTTAGCTTATTGTCTGGAATGTAGTAGACAATAAATGTTTGTTGATTGTTTATTACTACTAATATTTTTCATCTCTCATCTTTCTTTGATGGGTAGAACTATTCACATAGAAACTGTGCTGGGACAAGTTGATATCCTAGTAGTATTTTTTTACGCTTAATGTTCTATGAATTGTTGAACAAATGATAACTTCTCTTCATATATTAGTATTTGTACTTATAGTTAATTCACAGTGTACAAATAGGTTTTCTTATTGGAATTGAAATCTGACTTTTTTCCCCCATCAATGCAATGAGTTCTTTGTACTTTTAATTTTTTACCTCTTACTTTAGGTTCGTGCCTCTAATTTGCAAGATTTGGTATATAAAAATGGGCAGGCTGGGATTACGAAAGCTACAGTGTCGATCACTTTTGATAATTCTGACAAAAAACAGAGCCCTTTGGGATTTGAGGCCCATGATGAAATTACTGTTACAAGACAGGTGAGTCTTTACTTTTCTGGATATCTAAGAACTTTTGTCTTCCTAAGAAGAATTGAAGAGTAATATTGTTATATCTGTAGAGGCAAACCCTTTTGTAACAAAGTTATCAGTTATAAGAGCAAGTGCTTAAATTGTTGTAGTACTTCATTGTGAAGAAGTTTCAATTAAAATATAATTCAGTCAAGTCGTCTTAGGTCATAACTTGGTCAAATATAAGTGTCTGGTATCTTTCCCTTGTGATTGGGGTACATTAAAGAGGGCCCTGGCCAGCTAAAGGGAGAAGAGTTGGCTACTTGAGAGGGTACAGGGAGTGTTCATAAGGATAAGAAGGAAGGTAAGGATAGAGGAATAATTTGAAGAAAGAGGAGGCTGGGGACAAAATATAAACTTAATAGAGTTAGAATTTTTGAATTGTAGACTTTTAGAGCTGGAAAAAATGTTAGAGGTCATGTGTTCCAGATTTGGGGTCTTCCAGTCTCTTCTTTTTTTCATTATAATGTGATGCCTGCCCAGCTTTGTCTAGGCTTGGCCCTCTTGCTCTTCAGCTGTGTGTGGAGAGACAGAAGCTCTGCATTGAGATCTTTCTGTCTTGCAGCTACAAATGTTTGCCTCAAATTGGGGTGCTGGCTTGGGAACCAGGGGACTCTGGTTTTAGTCCTTGCTTTATTAATTAACTTCATGACCTTAGGTAAATCACTTCTCTGAGTGTTGGTTTACTTATCAACAAAATTGAAGTGTTGAACTAGAAGATTTCTAAACTCCCTAGTGGTTCTGAAAGTCTGATTCCAATTTGTCATGCCCTACTTGACTGTGCTTCTGTTTTATTTTCAGGTGGTTATTGGTGGCCGAAATAGATACTTAATCAATGGTGTAAATGCAAATAACACCAGAGTTCAAGATCTCTTCTGTTCTGTTGGACTTAATGTTAATAACCCTCACTTTCTCATTATGCAGGTATCTATGGTTTTATATTTGCTTTACGTAATTGTGATATATGGATTATTGTGAGTTAGTGTATGATGTAGCATTGTTTTTCCTTCTGAGTCTTCAACTTTGGTACTGATTTTGCCTGATCACCCATCCCCCCCCTTTCTTTTTTGGTGAAATAAGTCTATTTGCCTGCTTAAAAATTTTCATTTGGAATATAAACTAATTCTTTACATTGCAAGAGCTTCCAGATGGAGGTGGCTACTTGTGTTGGTACTTGATATACCCCCCTCTCTATCCCCAGATAAAGTGATTGAATTTTTGAGGTTGCCTGATATTGTATCTTGACACATTTAGATGTTTCCTAAAGAGTAAAAATATTCCTTACTGATATCTGGATTAATTGAGGTATTGCTGATAATATTGAATTTCTAAGCTATTTCTTATATGTTAATTTACATTTTTTCCTTAAGTATTTAGGTGGGTATTTTTTGGAAAGAATTATACGTAAGAAAAATAATTATCAATGCAGACATTTATGTTTATACATATATTTACATATATTTTTACTTCATTTATATTTTTCAGTGTATCCGCTGCCTACCAGAGAGCCATCCTTTATAACCAATAATAACAGAGTTAAAAAAAAAAAACAAACCAGTTAACTCATACTTACCAACATCACAGAAAAGTCTAACATTTGCAGTATTCTATAACCATAGTCTCACACTTCTGCACAGAATGGGGAAATGCCTTTTGTCTCTTCTTTGGGTCCAACTTTGGTCATTTTAATTTTACAGTATTGGGTTTCTATTCTTTCTGTTTATGTTATTGTAGACATACATATTGTTTTCCTGGTTTTGCTTACTTTGCATTAGTTCGTAGAAGTCTTTCCATACTTCTCTAACTCATGCTCAGTTGTATTCATGTATCACATCTTGTTTAGCTATTCCTCAGTTGATAGCCATGTACTTTGTTTCCATTTCCTTACTTCTACAAAAAATATTGCTTTGAATATTGAATATTTTGGTGTAGATGGAATCTTTCTATTTGACTTCCTTTTGGTATATGCCTAACTGGAATATTTCTATTGCAGTAATTACTTTGGAAACTGACTTAAACTCATCACTAAGAATATAACTAGATATGGGACAAGTTACCTTGGTTACTAAAGGAATTACTAATACAAAGCAGTTTTTGCCTATGAAAGAATCTCGTGGGCTTGTCTCTGAGGATAGTACTAGGACATGGTTCAAGCGTACTTTAAAAGAATTTTAAGTTTTTTTATTCTGAATTTTACAGACACTAACAAATATGAACTTTTTTATATAAAGAACAGAAAAAGAATCGTATGTAAAACTATGAATACCTATTATGTATAGCTTATTTTAAAATAAAAATAAAATAAAATAAAATCATGCAATATATAATAAAGTATGTAATAGAAAGTATAAAATTCAGCATGTTCAAAATATAATATATTAGATATCTAAATATCTAGTATTGACTTGAAATTTTATGATGCTAGCTTAGGTTGACTTCTCTTGGTTGCCAATAGGCATGACACTTTTGTAACATTGGGATAGAAAGCTAACATGATCTTAGACTACGTTAAGGGGGTTTGATATCTAGAAGGAAATGATAGTTTAGGGCTCTGTCTTGGTCAGACCATAGCTAGACTACTGTGTTCAGTCCTGGATTCCACATTTTATAAAGGATGTTAACAATCTGGAGAAGATCCAGAGATCATGTTATAAGAGAGTTGGCTGAAGGAGCTAGGCTTTTTTGATCTGGAGAAGAGAAGACTTAGGGGCAACATGATAGCTGTCTTCAACTGTCTGAAAGACTCTTAAGTGAAAGAGAGATTAGACTTGTTCTGCTTGGTTTCAGAAAACAAAAGTAGGAAAGAGTAGAAGTTGCATAGAGACAGATGTCAGCTTGATGTCAGGAAAATCTTCCAAACAGAAATATGAAAAAATGAAGTGGACAGCTTCAGGAGGGTTTCCCTTCACTGGAGGCTAGGTGGCTGTCGCTGAGATTGTCCAGAAGATTACCAGTTAGGTACAGGTTGGAACAACTCATGTCTTATATTTCTTCCAACTCTGGAAATCTGTGATCCAGCATTCTCTCATCAAAATTTACCAGTACTGTGTTTCAGTCCTTCAAGCTGTTAGTACACATCAGGAACTAATCTGAAAAACTGATATTTGGAGACAGGTCTTATGTTCATATAATACTAATATAATATTAATTAATAGCTTTGTGATCTTAGATTTGGGCTTCAGTATCCTCATGTAAAATAAAGAATTTAAGTTAGTTGATTTTCAGTTCTGGGTCCAAACCCTATGATCTTAATTCAAGAGATATTAAAGTGTTTCTGATTATGCAAGGCATTGTGTTCAGCAGGAGTTTACTATCCAAAAGAATCTCAATTTTCTTAGGTACATAATGATGATGAGTTCATAGCATCATATGATTTTAGAACTGCAAGGGAACTTAGGAATCATTTATTCTGATGGTTTTATTTTATGTCGGGGGAAACCAAGATCCAGATAAGTCAGGACTTGTCTAAGATTACACAAGTAGTAAGTGGAAGATCCTAGATTTAAAGTCAGATCTTCTCCCTTCAAATCCAGTGCTTTCTACTATACTAACTACCCTGCCTCTAAAGAATAACCAGTATCCCTTTCAATTAAAATTTTCTGTAATTCTAGTTAAAGTGAATACTGAATTTTAAAAATACCAGGAGACCATTATTCTTTGTCTTAAAGTCTAATAAAAATAAGTCTCTTTATCTACCTGAAGGTGATGGAAAGGACTTCCCAAAAGACTTGTTTATTTCTGGGAGTTGAGGCAGCTAGTAAACAAAAAAAAATTATACGACTTCTTCCATTTTACATGTATTGTTTTTCTATGGCGGTATGCCTTGAACATATTTTTCCATTTTTTGTCAGGGTCGAATTACCAAAGTGTTGAATATGAAGCCTCCAGAGGTAAGAGCGTCATATAAACTATAACAGTGGTTTGTGACATTAATTATACCTTAAGTTTCTTAGTTTATATTTTGGGAAATATCATATTGGGTCATTTTGAATGATCTGTAGGTAACTGGTTTCTCTTTACAGTATTTGTTTCCATTCCATATGGTAACATAATTTTGACAACATACAAGAATGTTTGCAATTGTAGTTCTAAATAGAGAGCTTCAGTTACTACTTTTTTCTCTGAATAACTAATAAAATAAATGGGATGATGATACGATTTTGTCTGAATGTAGTTCAAACATCTGCTGGCACAGTGAGTAGAGCATTGGGCCAGGAATCAGAAAGACCTGAGTTTAAATATGGCCTCAGACTTTTGTGACCCTGGGTAAGTCACTTAACTTCTGTCTGTCTTAGTTTCCTCAACTGTAAAATGGGAATAATAATAGCATTTACTTTGTAAGGTTGTTGTAAGAATCAAATGAGATAATACTTGTAAAAATGCTTAGCACAGTGCCTGGCACATTGGAGGAGCTATATAAATGCTTATTCTTTTCCTTTATTCCCTTTATTTTGATTGTTTAGCAAGTGGGAGAACCTCTTCTATCTTTCAGCTGAAGACTACCATTCTCTCTGAAATAATATTTTAGCTTTCAGTGAAGGAAGTAATCCCTATAACTCAGAGTCAGGGATTGAAGGGATTAATATGTTTGTAATAGCACTGTAATTATTACATTTTAACCTTGCCATATCTAATGTCCTAGAAATACTTTCTAACGTTTGCATAGTTATCCATTTATAACTTGAGTTCTTATGACAATATTTCTTTAATAATATATTTATTTTTAGTTTTCAACATTCACTTCTGTAAGATTTTGAGTTTTAAATTTTCTCCTCTTCCATCTTCTCCCCACCCCCCTAAGATGACTGCAATCTGATATAGGCTCTACTTATACATATATTAAACATATAGCAATATTTCTTAAAGTGTTATTTGTTTGCCTCAGAACTTTCCCTCTTCATAGGGGAGGAGTAAGAATTATTTGGGGAAGATTTGGTATAGTTATACAGGCTTTTCAATTAGAGTAGCTTGGTGGTAAGCCTTTTCAGAACAATTTGTCTATATTTATAAAGAAGATCAAAGATTGTACCTCTGTTTACTGCTAAAACTATTTATTGGGAGCACTGTGATGTGCTGAGTAGAGTACTGGGCTTAACATCAAGAACAGAAGCTTAAGAGAGTGGGGCATTTGAAAAGAAGGGAAGAAACCAAAGAAATATAGCTATGCTTTGAGTTTGGAATTTAACCATTCCCTAGAAGACAGATCTACATTTATAAACACATATATGCTCTAGACCAGGCTGCATCCTAGTGGTCTTTTGCTCTGGTAACTAGATGTCATTGGGAAATGTTTAACAAAATAGATAAAATGTAATATAGCATAATGTTAATTTGTAGTTTTCTAAGTCAATATGCAGCTGTTGGCATCTGTTTCTATTTGAGTTTGACACTACTGCTCTAGGCAATAAATGTGGCTTGGTTGAGGCTTACCCAAAGCTTTTTGCAGGTTCATTTTCCTCTCATTGCTCTTCGTTGTTTATGTGGGGATTTAAAAAAAAAATTGAAAATATTTTGGGTTGTACTGTTGATAATGTTCTTACAGTGAGGGTCTTCATTTCTGTTCAAGGCAAAAAGAGTTGTCTATGCTTTGTGATTATATTGAGATAATCACAGAATTTTAAATTCTTAAATATTTATGTAAAACATTGTCATTCCAGATTTTATCCATGATTGAAGAAGCAGCTGGAACCAGGATGTATGAATGCAAAAAAATTGCTGCCCAGAAAACCATAGAAAAAAAGGAGGCTAAGCTGAAAGAAATTCAGACGGTAGTTAATGTTTTATTAGATAATTAATATTAGGCAACTATTAAGATTCTGTGTTTAGAGTTCTTATGCTGTAGAGGTGGAGACACTGGTGTGGGTTTAGATGTGATATTTTCTCTTTTGCCTAAAAGTATTTGCTTTTTTCTTTTTATGTTTACCGTAATGAAGTTGTACTTCTTCATTTTACAGATACTGACAGAAGAGATTACTCCAACACTTCACAAATTAAAAGAGGTATGTTTTAAATATATAGAATGATAATTAAGGGATTAATTTAAGGGCAAGTGACAAGAGGTTCATAGGAGAAGTGACTTGGCTATTATCATGCAAGTGTTTAGTAGCAGAAGCAGAATTTAGACATGGGACCTCCGACTCCAAATCAGCATTCTTTCCACTTCACACACTTATTACTACAGTCAAGGATGGAATTTTTTGGCAGCCATATCACTTTGTTGACTCACATTGAACTTGTAATCCACTTATATTCCCGAGGATTTTTCATGTTACTTGCTCTCTCCCTACAACTATATTCTATATTTGTACAATTGCCTTTTTTAACCCTAGTGTAGGAGTTTGATTGTCATTATCAAATTTCACTTTGTAAGATTCAGTTTGTTTTTCCTGTCTTTTTATTATTAAGTAAAATACGTGGCAATATGCTCTTTCTCTAACTGTACAATAAGTCAGTTGGAGGTAAGTAAAAATGTTGTATTGATAAAGCTAATGGTCTATTTTGTATGTGTGTCTTATTAGAAAAAGAAGTTTAACATAGGTTATTGGATGATTTGACTTTAGCCTTAGGATCTCTACATGTTACAATATTAATTTTGTAATATATTTTCCCACATATTAATTCCAACTAACTGATAATGCCTTTTGTTAGTCAAAATGAAAAAATGTGATTAATTTACAAATGCTATAACATTGTGTATAAAAGCTAGTTTTCATTTAACATTGTCTTTTGAGGTTCTTTCCATCTATAAAACTGTATAATTCTATGATCTGTTCTAATTCAATTTTTCACCTGTGACATTCAGTAAAAAAATTATGCTATGAAATTAAAACCTTGAGTTGTGACTTGTCTATGTATATATGTATAGGTATGCTTGTGATTTTAAATGGCAGGGGGAGAGTTTGGGAGCTTCAAAATAGATTCCTTTCGAATTTCAAATTTTTTTTCTTATTGGTAACTTTTTCAGGAAAGATCTTCCTACTTGGAGTACCAAAAAGTAATGCGAGAAATAGAACATTTGAGTCGGCTGTACATTGCTTATCAGTTTATGCTAGCTGAAGATACCAAAGTACGTTCAGCTGATGAGTTAAAAGAAATGCAAGCCCTAACTATCAAACTTCAAGAAGAAGTAGCTGAGAATGATAAACATATTAAGGAACTTAGCCGTGAAATAGAAGAGTTGGAAAAAAGAAAAGAAAAGGTAAGAAAGCTTCAGTGTGAATGTTAGGTAACTTATAAGGTGAAAAATTAATTGCCTTGCAGAGTGACATCATGGGATATCTCTTCTAGAGCCATTGAAAATGTCTTACTGCCTAACCATTTTCTTTAAAGAGGCACAGTATAATAGCTTTTAAAAATTATTTACACCCTTACAAAGTTGTCATATGAATAGAAGATTGCAACATAGTTGTAGATTTTGAGAAACTTGATTGAGGTGAGATGCATTTTATTGTAGGAAATTGGTAATGTCCTTCAGTCTTTGGAAGATGTGCTTGCAGAGGCTCAGAGAGTCAATATGAAGTCTCAAAGTGCTCTAGATCTCAAGAAGAAAAATCTGGAAAGTGAAGAAAAAAAACGCAAAGAATTAGAAAAAAGTATGGCAGAGGTAAGCAAAATTATTTTACATAATAAAACACAAGGTATTCTAGTGGATTGTTCTCAGCAGTATTAACTTTTGTAATATGGCATTTTTCCAATGTTATAGTCTAATGATTACTAATTCTGTCGTAACACTAAATTCTCTAGGGTTTCTTAAGGGTTCTTAACCCATGGTCCGTGAACTTGACTTAAAATTTTTTTGATAATTATATTTCAGTATAAATGGCTTAGGAAGCTATTTTGTAATGCCATGCATTTTATTCTATTCATTTACAAATATTTTTCTGAGAAGGGCTTCCATAAACTTCACTAGATTGCCAAAGGCCTCTGGGACCCAAAAAAGGTTAGAATGCCTGTTTAAGAGCTACAAAACATAGAAGCAGAATTACTGGTGTTATAAATTTCACATTCATTTCAACAAGAATTTATTAAATGCTTGCCACATGTGAAGCACTGTTCTAGATACTAGGGGTACAAAGGAATGAAAAATAGTCCCTGCCTATAAGGAACTTATATTCTATGATATCTATATTTTTTCCAAACAATAATTGAGACATTTTCTTTGACATAGAGATTTTGAAGTTCTCAGTTGTAAGTACCTATCTGGTCTGGCTTTAAAAAAAAAATCACAAATGAATTGCTGCATCTGACTTTATTTCTTTCATATTAATTAGGCTAAAAGTTCTGATCACCATTAAAAAAGGTGAGAGATTCTTCAAGTGCTGGAGCCTTGCATATCAATAGATATGTCAGAGTTTTAAATTACTATGACAATGCTAGTCCTTAAACTATATGGAGACTTTTATTAATAACGCTATCATTCTTCTCCTTGTGGGATACCTCATCATTATTTAATATTGTATTTGCAATAGCAAGCTTAAAAATATAGCAGTTACTGAGTTAGGCAAAATGTGGGACCCAGGACTTTGTGATTAAAACCATGATCTTGAAATTCCTTCCCTCACCATCATAGCATTTTGAAATTGTTATGGAATCACTGATCTGTGATGTTTAGATTAAACTCTGTGTGTGTGTGTGTGTGTGTGTGTGTGTGTGTGTGTGTGTGTGTGTGTGTGTTCGTGTTCAGAGAGGGCTGATTTTGAATAAAGGTTGTGGTTTCAAAGCCTGGCTGTGTCATTGACTGTTTCATTGATCTTAGGCAAATATCTTAACCTCTCTGTGTCTCAGCTCCCTCACGTAAAATGAGAGGGTTGATGGAGAGAATCTACAAGGTGTTTTCCAATTTTGCATTTATAAATCTTTAAATATAAGTTGACCAGCCGCTGGTGACTTTGTTTACTTGTTTTGTTTTTGTCTCTATGCCTTATGAAATTAAGGAAATAGTTATGATCCATATTGATGGAGAGAGAATATATACCAAATATATGGATTATATGTGTAAAGGAGAGGAAATGAATCCCTGTCCTTTAAACTATGGGGCTAGATGCTGATATGGGAAACATTGCTTCCCAAGTGAAAGAAATTAATTTCCTTGTTAATTATTTTTCCACAAAGGATTCTAAAACTTTGGCAGCAAAGGAAAAAGAGGTAAAGAAAATAGCAGATGGACTGACTTCTCTTCAAGAAGCAAGTACTGAAGATACAGCTGCCCTGGCAGCCGCACAGCAGCATTTCAATGCTGTGTCTGCAGGCCTGTCCAGTAATGAGGATGGGGAAGAAGCAACTCTTGCTGTACAGATGATGAACTGCAAGAATGACATAAGCAAAGCTCAGACTGAAGCCAAGCAGGTAAAATCAGAAGTTAAACAATTTGTAATTACAACTTAAGAATGTGATCAAATGTTAAGGGTCGAACTAGGTGACCTCTGAGGTCCCTTCCAACTCTGAGTTTCTGTGGCAGGACTTTGAAGGTTGATAAGCACCTTGGTGCAATAGAATGAATATTGGACTAGGGTTTGGAAGACTTGGGCTCTGGCCCCATTTGTGTGGTCTGATACAAGTCCTTTAACTCTGTCGATAATAACATCATTCTTCTAGTTTCCAGCCAGATTCGTAGCCTTAGTTATCTTTGATTCATTCTATTTTAAACCATTTTTTCCTCACTCCCTCTCCCATTTCTACTTGATCACTTCATCTTATTTTCTTTTTTGGGGTATCTTTTGAATTCTACCCTTACCAAATTTGTGAGGCAGCTTGTTGAAATAAAATATAATGTATATTAAATGGTTTGCAGATTGTAAAACACACAGTAAAATGGCAACTACTATTATTTTTGTTAATATTGTTATTATTTGGACCACTGAACTTAGTCAGTAGACTTGAGCTTTGATTCTAGCTCCAGTGTTTATTAGCTTGAGTGATCATGGGCCACTGAAAGCTGGCTGGTCCCAGTTTGCTCTTTAAAATGAAGATAATAAGACTTGGACTATTTACTTCAGTCACTGAGGAAAGTTATTTGTAAATTTTAAATAAGAATGTGAGCTATTTATGTTTCCACGCTTGCCACATATCACTTTACATTTGGACAAGTATAATAACCCCCCTTTCTGAACTGTCCCCTTTCCAGTTTATCATGTAGATTTCTGCCATGTAATTTTGTGGAAAGCACTATTGTCTTTATCATTTCTTTGCTTCAGAATCTATAATGTTTTCTGCCATCTGTTGTATCAAATTAATTTTTCTCAGTGTGATATTCTCCGTTCACAGTGAACTGGTTGTATTTTATATATACAACCTTGTTTCTCACTACTTTGTAAATAACTCCTGTGTATGGCTAAGCAGAGTTCCTGGTTGATCCCTTTGGAAATGGAGGAAGCTAGAACTTTGAACTTGGAGGTTCTTCCTTTTCTGAACTCAACCAATAACCAGGCTTTGCAATACCTATTCAAGCTCTATTGCTAGTTAGAATCTTAGAAATATTTGCCATGTGTGTTTCATGTAATTGCTGGAAATTGATTCATGATAAACATGAATTTGGCTTACATCCTGAGTAGCCTTTAAAGGGAAAAATATAAGGAAATAGCTCTGCTGTTTGAAAAAATGTTCATCTATGATAAGTAGATGATAAGATGATAAGAGTTGGAAGAGACCTCTTACCCTGTGGAATTACTGGGAGCTGTTTTGAGTAATCTGTTTTTTCTAAATTTGCTGCTCTTTCACGTTTAGTACTACTCTGGTTTTGTCCCATTTTTCAATCTAGGCTCAGATGAAGTTGAAACACGCCCAGCAAGAACTAAAGACCAAACAAGCTGAAGTTAAAAAGATGGATGGTGGTTACAAAAAAGACCAAGAGGCCTTCGAAACCGTGAAGAAACTTAAAGAGAAGCTGGAAACAGAAATGAAAATGCTAAACTATCAAGGTTTGTGTTAATTGTTTATGTTGTGTCAGAATATTTGGCGAATTGCTAAGAAGGGAGCTGTAGGGGAAATGAGATCCTGAGAAAAACATTGATTAAACTTTTGTTTACCATTCTGTTGTCAAGTTTTGGCATTTAATATTAAATATTCTTTTTTATGAGGATTTTTAACATATCAAAAGTTAAAAAATTATTTGTTTTAAAAATATGCTTTTTGGGTGTCTTTTTTCTTTATATCACAGTCTTTCCTGGGTGGGAAAAAAACCCTTTCCTACCTGCAGATTGAACCCTTTCTTATGACAATAAAAACTTCCTAATTAATCAAAAACATTCCATACAGAGACCATGTTTGACAGAGACCATACAGAGACCAAACTCCATACAGAGACCATGTTTGACAAGGCATATAACATTCTGCCTGAGTAGTCCCCTGGCTCTGCCATGAGGAGGGAAGTATGTTTCATTATCTCTCCTCCTGGGACAACCCTGGTTTTTAAACTTATTTAAAGCTGAGTTTCCTAAATGGTCTTTTCATTTTGTTAATGAAAACTTGAATTTGATTATTCTTATTTCATTCTGCAATGTTAAAAGTTTTTCTGAATTCCTCAATATTCATAATTTCTCTTTGTATTCCATTATCTATGTATATCATGATTTCTATTCTTTCAAAGAATAGAAATAATAAATTTAAATAATGCTCTGTACAATTTGAATACTACAGACTCTTCTTCCTGCTTCACTCCCCTTCTGAAGTCACTCCTTGATTTTGAACTATCTCACATCCTTCAGGGTTGTACTGAGCATTATTGGACTGTTAATTCTTATTGGTGATATTTTACTGGGAGGGGTAAAATTTTGCTTAGGTTTAAAATTGAGCACTGTGTCCATGGAGGAGAAAAGTGAAATATACATATCTCCTTTTCCAAAACCAGTATTTTTTATTTGGCAAAGATGATTTAAATATTATCTATGCTTTTTCATTTAATACTTTTTTGCAAGAGATTTATTCTTGGCTTTTATTTAGTATTTAATATTTTGCTTAAATTAGATCACTAAGAATTTTAGAGGGAATTGTTTCTTTTTGGGGCTTTCATTTTTTAAAAAAATTAAGTTTAATAGTTCAGTTGAGTTATGTTTTACTGTTTAGAAAACAAGGAGGAATGTCTGTTGGAACAGCGTCGGCTGCTTTCTCAAGATGTCAGCAGGCTGAAAAAAACATGTGAAACCTTGTTTGCCAAGTTTCCCAGTCTTCGATTTGAATACAAGTAAGCGATCATTAACTTTATTCACATACATCTTAAAATAAAGAAAATACAGATGACTAAGGCTAAATACAAATAAAGCAACAAGTGTTCATTAGGCACTTATAGTAGGGATCTACATCACTAAGATAATTTAAAAAAATTTTTATTTTCAGTTCCAAATTTTCTTCCTCCACCTCCTCATCCTTTGAGAAGACGAGAAATACAATACCCATTTTACATGTAAAGTAATGCAAAATTCACACTAGTCATGTTGCAGAAATAAGGAAAAGAAAAGTAAAGAGGAAAAAATGCTTCTGTCTGCACTTAGAGTCCATCAGTTCTCTTTCTGGAGGTGGATAGCATTTTTCATTATGAGTCCTTTGGAATTGTTGCTGGTCATCCTGTTGGTCAGAGCTGCTAAGTCTTTCTCAATTGATTGTCATGACAATATTGCTATTAGTGTATACTTCTTCTGGTTCTGTTCATCTCACTTTGCATCAGTGTACATAAGTCTTCCCAGGTTTTTTTTGAAACCATTCCCTTTATCATTTCTTTTATAGCATAATAGTATTCCTTCATAATCATATATCACAACTTGTTTAGCCATTCCCCAATTGATGGGCATCTTGTCAATTTCCAGTTCTTTGCTACCACAAAAAGAACTGCTATAAATATTTTTGTATAGACCTACTAGTGGTATTGCTGGGTCAAAGGGCATGCCTAGTTTTATAGCCCATGAAAGAAGTTATTATTTTGTTATTATATTAACATCCAATTATTAAATTAGGATCAAGATTTTATTTCCTGTTTCCTCATTCAGGGACCAGTCCCTGTAGGTTCAGTCAGTCAATCTCTGAGGGACATGGCTAATAGAGGAGATTGTCCTTATCCTTGGGGTACTTGATCTTGGGTAGGACCTCACCCAACTAGGAGATCTCACTTCTGTTTAGAGTGTAAACAGAATCTAATTTAGGTCAATTCTTGCCCTCAGGAAACAAGCCCATGTCCTTGTACTTCTCCAAAGGAGTGTAGGGTGACCCAGCTCATGAAGCAGAAAACCAACCAGAGTGGTCTGGGTAGAGATGGATTCCTCTTTCCAGATTGTTGAAAGTGGCTGAGTCTCATGATCAAGCCGTTCTCAGTAGGAGGAGCTGAACACTTAGCTCACCTCCTCATTTAAAGGTCCACCAAGCAGGGTTGATTTCTCCTGTTGGGGGCATTTCCTTTAAAAAAATATTTAAGGGGGCAACTAGGTGGTGCAGTGGATAGAGCACCAGCCCTGGAGTCAGGAGGACCTAAATTTAAATCTGGCCTCAGTCACATAACACTTACTATCTGTGTGACCCTGGGCAAGTCACTCAACCCCAATTGCCTCACCAAAAAAAATATATTTAAGGCATTCAGTGTCTCCATTAGGTGTCTCTTTGGTTACTGAGAGAAACCCCTGACCATCAATTTATTTATTATTAGCTAGCCTAATTAATAAGTTGATTTTTAATTACCCAGAAACTCTTTCTCTTGGGTTTTTCATTCTTCACACCCTTTGGGCATAAGTCCAAATGATTCAAACTGCGTACGTTTTTCAACCCAACAATACTACTACTAGATGTGTACTATAAAGAGATCAACAAAAAAGGAAAAGGACCAAGGTGATTTTGAAAATAGCATCATTTCTTACAGTTGGCATTTTTTCTTTAAGATGTATCTAACATAACAAGTGACAACAGAGGTAAAAATTTTAACTCTGATGTGACAATATGTTTAATAGTAATGTATATGTATAGCCTATATCAGATTGCACGCTGTCTTGGAGAGGGAGGAAGGGCAGGGAGGGGGAAAAATTTAAAACTCAAAAGCTTATGGAAGTGATGGTTGATAAATCAAAATAAATTAATTAAAAAAAAATTTTAACTGTTAATTGCATGATTCCTGAACAGCATTCTTAATTCTTATTAAACATGACTTTAAGTTTTTTAGATTAAATTTAGATCATCTTTAATTTGCTTACAATAATATTAAATCTAGGTATGTAAAGCATTTATTAAGCACTTAACTCTGTTCCAGGCACTGCGTTATGTGCTTGAAATACTAATACAAACCAACAAGATAGTCTTCACCTTCAAATGGCTATCATTCTTCCCCCCCCTCTTCCTACCCCCTCTTGGGGTGGGGGGAATGAAAGAAATAAAGGAAATACAAAACTTTTGTAACAAACTCTTGTAGCAAAACAAATTCTTATATTGGCCATGTCCAAAACTGTTATGTCTCATTTTGAGTCCATCACCTCATTTCAGGAGACAGTTAATATATTTTTCACCAGGTATATTCTGGAATCATGGTTGGTCATTGTGTTAATCAGAATTCTTAATTCTTTCAAAGTCTCTCTGAAACTTTACTTTTCATTGTTTCTTATGACACAATAGTATTCTGTTACAAACCCATACACCAAAATTTATTGAGCCATTTCCCAATTGATTGGCATCCCCTTAGTTTCCGGTTCTTTGGCACCACAAGAAGAGCTGCCATAAACATTTTTGTATATCTGGGTAGTTTTCCCCTTTCTTTTGACCTTGTTTTGGGTGTAGGCCTAATAGTGGTATTGCTAATTCAAATACATCAGAGTTTAGTAACTTTTTGGGCATAGTAAGGAGTGCATAGTCTAATGAGGGGAGACAAAAAGGGACCAGGTGGGATGCTGTAGAAATAGCCAAGAAAGGAGCATGGATGTCTGGTTTTGGGCAGGATAAAGCAAAAGCCCACTTATTAGATCTAAGGACCTAGAGATGGAGCTCCCAGTTAGATGAGGACAGATGAGAATTCAAGCTGCCTGATGAAGACAATGGCCTCACTGTATATGACATTTTGTCACATAGGTTATTCGCACTGAAAAGTATATTTTGATGTATTAAAGTTAGCTAGGATGAGTTTAGCCGATTATGAAATTGTGGTTTGCATTTGCAAATATTGTGAATCTTCTGCTTTTGTTTTAAGTTGGGTGTATGTATCAGGGAAACTTGATTAGGAGGTGGATAATATGTATTTTATCAAATGTACTGTATCAAATGTAGTAGTATCTCTCTAGGATTAATTTTTGTTATCTTTTTGCCAAAGGGATCCAGAGAAGAATTGGAATCGAAATCATGTAAAAGGCCTCGTGGCTTCTCTGTTTAATGTAAAAAACGCCTCAACAACAAAAGCTCTAGAAATTGTGGCTGGTGGACGACTCTATAGTGTTGTAGTAGACACAGAGGTAAGTTGGTAGCCTTTTTTTCATGTTATATGTGTTCTTTTCATCTTTACATTTTGTTTGATAAAAATGTAAGGTTGAAGAAGTTCCCTCACATTACCTGTTAGGAGAGTAAGAGACTTCTTGGATTTGTGGAACACTCTTTAAGATGTGTTATGTTGGGGCAGCTAGGTGGTGCAGTGGCTAGAGCACCAGCCCTGGAGTCAGGAGGACCTGAGTTCAAATCTGGCCTCAAATACATGATATTCACTAGTTGTGTGACCATGGGCAAGTCACTTAACCCCAGTTGCCTCACACACTAAAAAAAAAAGATGTGTTATGTTGTTCACAGAATCACATAATTTCTAGATTTGGAAGGGGCCTCGGTGACCATCTAGTCCAAAGGCTGTCCTTGAAGGGCATCTCCATTCTATAACATACCTACTGCATTCTCTGTTGAAGATAATGTGTGGGAGCCTAATGCTTCCTGAAGCAGCTCATTCCACTTTTCAGTTTTTTCCTTATGTCAAGTCTTATTTTCCTCTTTGAAACTTCAACACACTGCTCTTAGGTCTGCCCTCTGGGAACATAGCAAGTCTAGTCTTTCTTCCATTATAACTGTCATCAGTGGCTCTGTTACTTCCCTTTACCCTGTCTGTTCCCAAGTCTAATCATCAGGCTAAACATCCATGAAATAATAGATGATTTAATATACCAAGTGGAATCCCAGTGAGTAGGGAAAAAATATCTAAAACATAAGGTAGCATACTTATTAAGCATGATTTAGACTAGGAGGCATAGTAAATCTTAGCACTTCCATTTTATATCTTTTAACATCTCTGTATTTTGTTTGAGACATATTAATTCAAAAGGTAGAACCACCAAGCATATGTGTACATGGTTGTTGTAATAAACAAAATGTTAGAAGTATAGAAATGTGTTGTCTTCCTTCTAATAGGAGGTATTTTAACTTTCGTATACATATATAAATTGTAAATTGGAAAAGATAATTTATAATATTATTTTGTAGCACATCCTATTTATTTTTATTATGTAATATAAATGAAATCTCTAGAACTGTTTTTTTATAATGACACATATACCTGAATTTGGTGTTGATGCTCTGCTTCAGAAAGCAAGTTATTTTTAGTATTGAACAGACCGTTGACTATCAACAGAGTTTTCCTGTTAGTTTGATGGTGTTAGAAGCATTCTGTAAGGTTAATACAACTTATTTTTGTTCCTCTCTACTGCAAGATTAAAAGTAAAAATCAAACACACGTTATAACTTTAAAAAAAACAAACCAGTGGAGAGTTTTGGTTTTGAATGGAAAAAACCAGTATTATAAGAACATTAATGTCTCCTGATGGTATAAAAGGTATCCATTTCCTTAACTTTTGGTTACTGCTTTATGTACCTTTAAAACATTTTGCTTAAAAAAAAAAAGCACATTTGTATCAACATGCATAATCTATATTATATAGATTATGAGGAAGCTCAGACAACTGCTTCTTGGAAACATCATAAAGCTCATAGTTCCGCCATATCTTTAGAGATAGCATTCATTTTCTCCTTTTGAATTTTTTATGTACCTTGAATTTTTTTTTTCCTAACATGCAATGTTTATTTTAGATTACAGGTAAAAAAATACTAGAAAAAGGTGAACTAAAGCGTAGGCATACTATAATCCCACTCAACAAAATTTCATCCAGGTGTATTGGAAAGGAAACTCTGAATATAGCTAAAAATCTGGTAAGTTTCTTGTGTGTGTTTCATATGCATTTTCATTTTATGACCCCTTTTTAGAGAAGCAGTTGGCATACCGATTAGAGTGTGGGACTTTATTTCAGGAAGACTTGATTTCAAATTCTGCCTTTTTAAATAGTATTTTAAAAATATTTTGCAAACCTGGAAGTGCTATGTAAGTGTCAGCTACTATCATTATGTTATTTAGAGAATAACTGTATGGATTTGTGCTACCTTGGAACTTGAATTATGAAAACACATAAACACAGTCTCTTAATTTAGGACATTTACTTAAGTTTCAAGGAAATTGAGGCATCTAGCTTCTTTTTAATTAACACCTAAAATTAATAAATAAATGCTTGTTATTATTTACTATGAATGTTTAGCTATATTAATGAAATTTGCATGCCCCTTTGACGGCTCAGTATGGCTTTGATATGGCATAAAATGCTGTAAGAAGTCTTATCGAGGGTAGTAATGATTAGTTTTTTGTTTGATTGTGAGATGTACGGTTTCATTGTTCAGTCTTCTTGCCTAGACCATCCTAGGCATGCAGTCATATATGTTTAAAGACTTAATGCATGTTCAGAAACCTTAGATTTATTTTTTACTTAAAATTTTTTAAAATTACTTTTTTAATTAGCAAGCATTTATTTTCTCTCCCCACATTATTTCTGCACTTCTCCCATTCAAATAAAACCCATGTAAAAATAGTTATAGTCACAATGAACAGTGGATATGAGTAGCCCAACAAAATGCATAGTCTCCCTGGGGTGGTAGGTAACACCAAGAAAAAAGGAAGGAGGGGAGCTAAGGTTAGAAAATTATGTGCAATTGGCATAATCAGTATCAAAGAAGTGTCAGAATATAAGAATTAATGAGCCCTAGGTCAGGCACACAGGTGAGTCCAGGCAGGATAGGGCAGTACACACACACACACCAAAAAAAAAAAAATAGTTATAGTCAATTAAAACAAATTCCTACATGGATCATGTCCAGAAAAATATATCTCATTCTGCATCTTGAGTCAATCATCTTTCTGTCAGGAGGTGGGTAACATGAGTGAGTATGTATGTGTATCTTTCTCCTAAATGTTAGTGCCCTCCCTCTGAGATTATCTCCGCTCTATCCTGTCTGTATCTTATTTGTTCATTGTGATTTACATGTTGTTTCCCCTATTAGACTATGACTGTGGCCTGACAAGTCTTCTTCTTGGCAGGTTGGTGCTGATAATGTGCATCTGGCCCTTTCCCTGATTGAGTATGAACCTGAGCTTCAGAAAGCAATGGAATTTGTCTTTGGAACAACATTGGTCTGTGATACTCTCGACAATGCTAAGAAAGTTGCTTTTGACAAAAGGATAATGACTAAAACAGTCACTCTGGATGGTGATGTGTTTGATCCTAGTGGAACACTGAGTGGCGGTAAGGGCAGCTGTGTTGGGTACTTTTATTTGAACACATGCCCATCTTTTCCTTGGTAATGTAATAACAAATCTTTGTGTTGTAATAGGAGTACTTTGTTAATATAGCATATTGAAATATTTGAAATTATATTTGAAAACTTCATAACTTGTCATTGTAGTATGTTAATCTTGGTAACAGTTCTGAGTAGACAGGACACCTGTTAGTCTCCATTTCACATATAAGGAAATTCTGGCACAGAGGGAACTAAGTGAGCTCTCATTGTTAATGATGGTAATGGAACCTAGGTTTCTTGATTCTCATTCCGTTACTTATTTCACTAGACCTCACTACTCTGTAAAACTTGGAGATTGTAAAAATGTGTCAGTTGTCAAGATTCTTTGATTTCATTAGTGTAGAAATTCCCTTGTTGACCACATTTGTAACTTTTCTGTAACTTGGTAGCTAAGACTTTTGCTTCTGGTTACACATGAGTTAGTTAATGTCAGAAGTTAGAATTTGATCTAGATTTTCCTGACTCCAAGGCTAGCACTCTGGACCCATAAGGCAAAAGCAGATATCGGCATTTCAGATAGCAGGAAGAGCTCTGAGTACTGCTCAGTTCCTCAGTATGATGTAGCTCCTCAAGGCAGATATGTAATCTAGGCTCACTCTTAAAATTTATTTTATATAAGATTGTGAAATTCATAGCCAGGATTTCACTGAAAAAGTATTAGTAGATCCTTCTAGAAAACTCATTCCAAGAGAGTTCCTCTTTATAGATTGCCCCACTTTGAACGCTTGCAGATGCTACACTTGATGTCTTTAGGGTCAGGTGAGATGGAATAGTCTAGTACATAATGGAGTTAGGATGTTTGATATTAATTCATTAAAAAGTATTTTTATTGTGAAATTGAAGATAAAGCCATATGTGAAAAAAAAAACCAATTTCCAGTTTTTCTTATTGCCTGTGTGATCTTGATGAATCATTTAACCTCTCCAGTCCTCAATTTCCTTATTTTTAAAATGGGGGCAGGGTAGACTAGATCAGTGATCTCCAAACTTTTTTGATCATTCACTGCTGTCAGAAAAAGATTTTGAGCACCCAAATATGTATATTATTTACATTATATGCATGTCCTATTATACTAATGATTATATACATTTTAAAGTTTCATAAAAATAGGAATTTTAAAAGAAAAAGAAAATAATAAAATATTTCAAAAATATTAATGGTAGAAAATCCACTTTTAGTAACATATTACTAATAATGATATTTTAATGGGAGCAATATGATTGAGTATGCCTTATTATTTTTGAAAATTTTGGTTTAGCACTTGTGATATAGCAATTTGAAAGTTTCCTTTTAAATTCAGTCTATTTTGGTACTTGATTTTCATGGTAGTCATAGCTGAAAAATTACTTTACCAAGATTCCCTAGATCCCAGTAGAACAAGTGCAAGCACTTTCCAAATCATGATACTCATTTTTCAATCCCATGATACAAAAGTATTGGTTTAAATTAGGCTGTTTTCCCTGATGGAAATTGTCAGTTGTTCTTACAAGTGGCTCAGTAGGGGTTTTCTTTTTTTTTTCTTTTTCTTTTTTTTTTGCTAGGCAGTGGGGTTAAGTGACTTGCCCAGGGTCACACAGCTGGTGAGTGTTTTGTGTCTGAGGCTGGATTTGAACTCAGGTCCTCCTGAGTCCAGGGCCGGCACTCTATCCTCTGTGCCACCTAGCTATCCCAAAAGGGGTTTTATTTTTAACAAATAGGTTCAAAACCTACTGAAATACCTTATTTGGAAGACCTAAAAATGAGTTAGAAAATTCTGTTTCCAAGCCTAAGTATGTAGACATTAGAGTTTTTATAAGTGACAACACATTATGTTTACCTGGAGAGTAGATTAATTATCCAGGAGGAGAGGGTGGTTTACAGTGTCAGATATTCTACAGAGGTCAAGAAGAATAGAGATTGAGAAAAGACTTTTAGATCTTGCAGTTAAGAGATAATTGACTTCAATGAGAGCAGTTTCAGTTGAGTGAGTGGTCAATGATAAGGAGAAGGTCAAATCCCTCGGAGATTAGAAAGATGAGAATTATAAAAATTTGGAGGAGTTATTTTTCTGGGAAAGAGTATATAATTAGCTCTGTGCAGGTCTGACTCATCTGTGTCTCCTTAACCTGTGATACCTTGTTTCCCTTAAAATGAAAAGAAGGTGAGGTGGGGTTGGTTGCATAAACTTTGGGGTTTTCCCAATAGCACCTTCATAACTTCTGTGGATTTACACAGTAATGGGGGAGACCCTGTGTAGTAGTGTTGGAGAGAAACCCCAAGACTGGCTATTGTGGGGAGGAAGGGGTTTGGCTCATCTTCATTGTTGACCCCTGGGGGTCATGCTGTGGTCTTCTTGGGGTCATGTCATTGGGGTTATGCTACTGCTATTTAGGAATGTAGCTTCCCATTGTGGAATCCACTGGAGTGGGAGGACCAGAGGACTTTCTTGGCTCTAAATTTTGATCTGTGATTTTATATGCATGTTTGTAGATAACTCAGTGCCCAGCTCACCTTTTCTCTCTATCTGTAACAGGTGCACGGCCCCAGACTGCATCTGTTTTGACCCAGGCTCAAGAACTCAAAAATATTCAAGAGGAGCTAAAAGTCAAGGAGAGTGAACACCAAGCTATAGAAAGGGAATTAGCAGGTCTGAAAAACACTGCTGAAAAGTAAGGTTTCTGTTAATTCAAATAGCATTTTTTTTCCCTTTAGAGATTTGAATGGTAGACAAAATCCTTATGGACTCAGTCAACTGGGAAAATTCATATTCTTTTTGACTCTGAATATTGAATAATTATCAAAAGGGATAGCTATGAGAAGAAAGTATAGTCTAGCTCATAAAGAGCACTTGACAGGGAGCCGTATGAAAGAGAGCAGAATTTGGAGTCAGGGTCAGAGTTCCAACCTTGGCTTTGTTGCTTCTGGCCTGGGTGGTGCTAGAAAGTCACCTGACCTCCATGAGCCTCATTTGGGTCCTTTCAAAAATGAGATTAGGGGACTAGCTGACTGTAATGTCCTTTCGAACTCTAAATCTATGGTGCTTAGGCTAGAGGTCAAAAGAAAGACCATATTAATTATCAGCTATGTGACCAAACTATCCTTGGTGAGCTTCTGTTTGACAGATTTGGCAGTTAAGAAATAATTGCTAACTTGGATGAGAGTAGTGTCATTTGAGCGAATTGTCAAGGATAAGGAGGAGGTCGAATACTTAGGAGACAGGAAGGATAGTAGTACTCTGGAAAAAAATAAGAAAGTTCAGAAGAAGGGTAATTTTGGTGGGAAAGATAATGTAATGAAATCCATGCAGGTTGTAACCCATCTGTGTCTCCTTAACCTGTGATACTCATTTTGTCTCGCTCAGAATGAAAGGGGGGTTGGGGTGAGGCAGGGTCATCTTTAATGGTCTGTAGTGTGGGGTTAGTACCTGCTCTACTGATAATAACAAATGATGAAAAGCATATAATGAAAGCACCCGGATTCTCAATATTAACTGTTACCTAGAATCATGAAGTCAATATTATTTATTTTCAACATGTCTCAACACAGGGGTAATAACTTTCTCTGACTACTTTCAGCTTTTCCTATGTTGATTCCATGTGACACTTCATAAGAGATTTTACCAGGACTGTTTTCCTAGGTTGCTATTATGTTACTGGAGAGCAAAAAAGCATTAGAAACTCATACTTTAGATATTGCCAAATGTGAATACATATTTTATACTTAGAAATGTTTGTGTTTATTAACATAGATTATTCATTACAAAATCCTTCTCAATGAGAATAGTGAGGCAGTATTTTCTGTGATAAATAGATATGCCTTGACATGTCTGACTTGACACATTTGTATATTTGAATTTGTTTGGAAAGTTAATTATATTCTTGGTGTGGTAGTGGCAAACACTTGTAGTCTCTGTTGCTTAGGAAGTTGAGATTGGTGAGTCTTTTGAGTTTCAGGAGTTCTGAGTTTCAGTAAGGCTAAAGCTGATGGAGTATGTACACTAAATCTTTTTTGTTGGGAGGGGGATTTTGTTTTCATTTTGTTTTCCTATTTTAAATTCGTGCATTTTACATTTTTAAGAAAATGTTTTTTAGTCAGGAAATTTCTACTATTTTGTAATAAGGCTGATAATAATACTAATAACTAACATTTCTATGTTATATGCCAGTCATTATGCTAAGTGCTTTACAATTATTAAATCATTTGATCCTCACAACAGCCTTGGGAGGTAGTTGTTATTACTATCCCCATTTTACAAATGAGGAAACTGAGACAAACAGAGACTAAGTGACTTGTGCTGGGTCACACGATAAGTATCTGAGGTCATATTTGAACTCAGGTCTTCCTAACTCCAGGCCTGACACTCTACTGTGGTGGTTAGTTAGCGCCTATAAGATCATGAGCTTTTGTAGAATATGCTGATAAATCAGAGTTCAGAATTACTGATGTCTCAGAAATGTGAGTTTGTATTTCAAGTGTTTCACACAGCCAAGAGATCTTTACCCACACATTTTCAAGCTTATTTTAGATCATTTGATTTGGATGCACTTGTTAAACCCCAAAATGATTATTGATCACTTACTACAAGTGGAAATCTTTTAAGGTATCGTCAACTAAAACAGCAATGGGAAATCAAGTCAGAGGAGACAGAATTGTTGCACACTAAGCTTCAGCACAGTGCATACCACAAACAGCAAGAAGAACTGGATGCTCTCAGGAAAACAATTGGTAAGATGAGATTTTATGTGTGTTACTTTGTTTCTGTTGATGTTCCTTCCCTGTTCAAGTTGTTCAGTTATTTCAGTCATGGCCATCTCTTTGTCACTCCATTTGGGGTTTTCTTGGCAGTATGCTGGAGTGATTTGCCATTTCTTTCTCCAGCTCATTTTCCAGATGAGAAAACTGAGGCAAACAGAGTGATTTGCCCAGGGTCACACAGCTAGTAAGTGTCTGAGGCCAGATTTGAACTCGTGTCTTCTCCTAACTCTAGACCAGGTGCTCTATCCAGTGCACCATCTAGCTTTCCCTTGAGTTTATATAAAACAAATGAGATTTTCTTCAAAATTTAAAAGATGCAGTTTTAATCTACAGGGCCAGCAATGTTAATAATAATTAATTTTAAATATTCAGTTAATTTTCGGAAGCCAAAATTTGGTCTCATGATTATCTCTCCCTTGTCTGAACATGCTGTGTTAACTTTTAGATTGAATTTAGGTGTGCTTGGTAGTGTATTCATATGTTTCAAATCTTTTCTTGGGTGCAAATACTACACAATTATATAATATCCTTCCTTCTCTCCCATTCCCACCACCCTTCTATTAATTTTGAGCTGAGGTAGAGATAAATCATGCCAACAAGGGTTATATGGACAGTCCAGACCCAGGCCTATTTGAAATTTTTATCCCTCTTTACTTTTGAGTTTGTAAGCTCCTTGAGGGCAGGAACCATTTTCACTTTGTGTTTGTATCTGCAGAGCCTAGCGCATTGTCTTGCCCGTAGTTGGTGCTTGATAAATGCTTGTTGAATTGAGTGAGCTCACCCAGAATCGAAGCTGACACATTGATCTGAGATCAAAGGTCTAGATTCTTGACCTTTCCCTTGCATGTTGTTTTATCTAGAGCACTCTGTCTCTAGTGAATAAATAGATGTGTATCCTCATTTTAAAGCCAGGGGAAGAAAATCTGCTGCTCTCTGTCTCAGCTGTTTTAAAAGACACATCTGCAGCCTCCCTGGTGGTGTTTAGGGGGGGAAGATAAGAATATATAGGGGAGAATATTTTTTAACCACCTTCAACCTTGTCCTCCTCTACAAAGTTCTACTCTATGTCTTGTGCTATGGAGCTGGCCCCTGGTGCCTGAAGCCTCTATCAGCATAGTACAAGTTTGACGGGCCCAACTAAGCTGAAAAAGCTTCTAGTCCAATGTTGGGCTGGTGATAGATCCTGTCTGAGGATGAGCTTTGTGAAATTCAGAGCAGCTTTCTATCAGATTTCTTTACTTCCTCCCTCCCTCCCTCCCTCTCTCCCTCTCTCCCTCCCTCCTTCCTTCCTTCCTTCCTTCCTCACAGCAACTCATAGAAAAATCTACTAAGTTTTTGAGGGGCTGGAATCTACATTGATGGAAGGAGTTGTCACACTGATCAAATCATTCATCATTCAAGGTTGAGATGAAGGGAAATACATTCATGTTAATCAGTCAACAAGCATTTATTTAGTACTTCTTCTTATGTGTCAGGCTGTGTCAAGTGATGATGATGCAAAGAAAGGCAAAAACATGGTTCCTGCTGTCATTGAGCTCTCGTGCTAATGTGTGAGGGAAGGCACTAGCAATGAAAGAGACTAAGAAGTGCCTCCTGCAGATGGTGGGATTTAAGCTGAGTCTAGAAGGAAACCAGAGAAACCAAGAGGTGGAGGCAAGGAAGAAGACCCTCTAGGCATGAGGGGACAATTAGGGAAAAGTCATGAAGCTGAAGAGGGTTGCTTTCAGGGATCAGTAAATATACCAGTATAGCTGGATAGGTCATAGAGTATATAGAGGGGAGGAGAAAAGCATAAGAAGACTGGAAAAGTAGGAAAGGGCCAGGATTTGAAGGGCTTTTAATAATAACTATCATAACAACTAACATTACATAACACTTTAAGCTTTGAAAACTTGCTTTACAAATATTATCTCATTTGATCCTTGCTACAACCCTGGGAGGTAGGTACTATTATTATCCTCATTTTATAAATGAGGAAACTAAGGCAGACTGTGGTTAAGTGATTTGCTCAGGGTCAAACAACTAGTAAGTGACTCAGGTGGGATTTGTACTCAAGTCTTCATGATTCCTGGTCCAACACTCTTAACTACTGCTCCAACTAGCAGCCAAATGGAATATTTTATATTTGATCCTGGAGGTAATAGGAAGCCACTGGAGTTATAGGGGTGACTTGTTCAGACCTACATTTTAGGAAAAGTACTGGTAGCTGAGTGGAGGATTCATTGGAGTGTGTGTGTGTGTGTGTGTGTATGTATGTGTATATGTTTTAATCCAAGCTCAAACTGGAAAGAAGACAGCTGTGTTTGAGAAAAGTGCTCAGTAAATGCTAAGTGGTAAAACGTTGTTTGGTTCATTTGTCTCATCAGGCTACCTCTTGCCTGAGATAGTTTAGAAACTGCATTCTATTCAGAGAAAAAGTCCCAAGAAACCTATTGGAAAATATACTTTTGCACAGTACAAATATTGCACTTCCTCCTTCCCAACACTTTTCTCAAAGAGAGCTGTCTTTTTTCCAGTTTAAAGTGATAAGATTCTCAGTTGTAGAGCTTGTTTTGACTAGGCAAGAAAATGTTTGAGCTTCCCTCCTTAATCTCATTGTATTTTCTGAATCATTTCCATCTTGTAGAATTCTAAGGGTTGGTGGCATTTTCTAGGTCTGACCCTAATGAATTCCATTTGACTTAAGAGACATGAGGCATGAGAAGAATCTCTCTACTTTTTATTCACCCTGGCATACATACCCCCTTTACCCTGCACTCTGCGTTTGGTCTCTTCTCCTCTCAATCCCTTGTTGCCTAAGTGCACAAAAAGACAAAGTATTTGAAACAATTGTTTATAGATAATTTGAAATTATAATTTTACTAACCTTCAGATATTTCATGTGTATGTTTTATATGTAGAGATTCTTAACCAGTTAGGAAGGACCAGTGTATTGCACTGGAAAAAATAATGCCAGTCTTCCCATCTTGAGGCTGGATATTTGAGCTTTTCCTATTCTCATCTTGAACATTTAAAACTGTTATAAACTAATGTATTAAATGGTTGTCTTTAGAATTGTTAGTCACTATTCTCTACTCTTGATTTAGAGGAAAGTGAGGAAACCCTAAAAAATACACAGGATACCCAAAAAAAGGCTGAAGAAAAATATGCAGTATTGGAGAATAAAATGAAAAATGCAGAAGCTGAGCGAGAAAGAGAACTAAAAGATGCCCAGAAGAAACTTGATTGTGCTAAAAAAAAGGCAGATGCTTCTAGCAGGAAGATGAAAGAAAAGCAGCAGGTAATGAATGTTTGATTTTTAATAGCCATTATTGAAAAGGAAACACATTTGTTAAAAGTATGTGATGGGTTAGAAAGTAGAGGGTAGATAGATTTGTTTCTTTCAGTTTTGAAGTTTTTTTATTCTTTAGTTTCCATTAACATGTTAAACCTAAAAGTAGGTATCCTCAGAAGTAAGCATCACACCGATCCGTAGAAATGCCCTATTTTCTGAAAGTTATGGTAGTATGTACTACATAATTATACATAAAGCTTGCATGCTGAAAGTGTGTTGCAAGTCTTACAGGAAACAAACTGCCCTTGTTAGCAACTTGTTTAGGAACAGGCTGAGGTTTAGATGATGGAGTGGAACTCACTTGATTGTGCTAAAGAATCAAGAAATAAATTATATTTGTTGGACACATGCATGTTCAGGGCATTGTGCTAGAGGCTATGGGAGTTAGGAAGATATGTATACCGTAGAACCTGCCTTCCGGAGCTTACATTCTGATCAGAAAAAATTTAACGTTGCCAGTTCAAGAGTAAGGTGATAAGCTAACCATCATGATGCCACATGGCAGAATATGATTAGTTACAAAGTGATGTTATGAACTTTGAGGTGGGTGAGCTCATTTAGCATCAGTGGTTTGATATGCTTTCATGGTGGGCTCCAAAGATATAATAATGATAATGGGGAGTCAAGAAAATTTTAAAGATGGAAATGATTAAGGAGGGGAAAAAGTATGTTGAGATGTAAGGAACAGATATTACTTAGGAGTATGTGTACCTTGTGACTATTTGAGAAGTATCTTGTGCTTTGGTTCTCTCATCTCATTAGTGTGGGTATTCCATCCAACTGTGAAGATTACAACTCTATCACTCCTGCAGTTCTTGCTCATGTCTTTGTTTAACACGATTCATGATTCATCTAGTTGCTCTAGTGGTCTTTTGGCTCTTTTAATATTTAGGAGTTGCTAGAGTAGCACTTGGACTATCCCTCTGTTTTCTCTCATTTTTGGTTATATGCTATAGCATGTTTACACTTGTCTTTCTGTTATGCTTGGGGTCAAAATGCAATTTAAATCTGGGAATGTGATTTTTTTTCATCATTCATAGTCATATAGCTCACTGGAATTTTTTTTTTTTTTTTTGCTTTTTGGTGAGGCAATGGGGGTTAAATGGCTTGCCCAGGGTCACACAGTTAATAAGTGTCAAGTGTCTGAGGCCAGATTTGAACTCAGGTCCTCCTGACTCCAAGGCCAGAGCTCTGTGTACTGTGCCACCTAGCTGCCCCCTGGAAAATATTATTGAAAAGATGTTTTTTTAAGCATGAAACACCTTCATGTTGTTGAAAGCACTGTGCAGTTTCCCAAATTTGATCCAGCCTGGTCTCCAGTTCTAGATTGAGCTCATTATCTGTTGTCACTGCCTCCAAGATTAACTCAGTTCATCCAACTTCATATTGTCATTTGGACAATTTGAGTTTTTCGTCTACTTTATTTTTACAGTATGAATGATAAATAGGTTGATTTCCCTGGAAAGATTTGAGATTTATTGGAAGAGTACCTGTAGTGTTTCAAGGCTTGATGTATTTAATGTGTTAGTTGAGAACACTTGGAGAACCTTGCCATTGATAGAGAATCCTTAGGGTTGTACTCTGAATAGTTGTAATGATCTACAATGTTTTAGTGTATGAGGACCTCATTTTAATGTAAAAAAAACAATTTGAAGACCACATGATAATTTTAGAAAATTATCTGTGGAAGTCTACCTATTCTTTTCTCATGTTGGTTTTTTTTTTTTTTTTTTTTGGGCAGTTGGGGTTAAGTGACTTGCCCAGGGTCACACAGCTAGTACGTGTCAAGTGTTTGATCTGAGGTCGAATTTGAACTTGGGTCCTCCTAACTTCAGGGCCGGTGCTCTATTCACTGTGCCAGCTAGCTGCCCCTTCTTATGTTTTTCATAAAGGAGAATCTCATTGTATACGTAGACCATTGTCAGTTTTATGGTGATAAGGAAGGAGTCACATGAGTTTACAGTGAATGTCTTTTCAGTTGCTTTTTTTGGGGTAAAATTTGCTGTGTTCTTCTCCAATCCAGGCCGCTCTCCCTCAGGGCTTCTGGGAGTTCCAAAATTAAGTGGATTTACTCTCTTAGGAACTGGGAGCATGCTTTCTGGAGGTCTGATCTAGAGAGTGCTGTTCCAGGTGGGGATCATTGGGACAGGGACAGGGCACTTGGCCAGATAGCTGATGGGATGTAAACACTAGATGGGATGTGAATGGGATGTGAAAAAAAGGAAGTTGGAAGAAGAATTGTGGTAAAGGATATTATCCCTGAAAGGCAGGATCAGAAAAGAAGATAGTTGGTCATATTGTCAGAGAAAGGGGTACCTGCTGGATTGCCTAGCAGTTTCTTTCTTTTTTCCTTCCTTCCTTTCCTGTATAAATGTAGAGTCCTGCACAACATATTTCCATATTAGTCATTTTGTGAAAGAAATACAGACCAAAAAAAATTTTAAAAAAAGTTTTCAAAAGAAAGTATGCTTTGATCTGCATTCAAACTCCATCAGTTCTTTCTCTGGAAGCAGATAATATTTTTCATTATAAGTCCTTCACACTTGTCTTGGATCATTGTATTTCTGAGAATACCCAAGTCATTCATAGTTAATCATTGTACGATATTGCTGTTACTATGTACAGTGTTCTCCTGGTTCACTTTGCATCAGTTTATTGAAGTCTTTCCAGGTTTTTCTGAAAGCATCCTTCTCATCATTTCTTACAGCACACACTAGTATTCCATCACAATTGTATACCACAACTTATTCAGCCATTCCCTGATTGATTGCCCGACAGTTTCAATGGCATTTTTGTAATGTCTGGGAAATTCTGGAAAGCCCCCTGCACCTTTGTGTGTCTTTGTGGCAGATGCAGGGGAAGACTCAGACAAGAGGTGTATATGTGGGTATGTGTTGTTGGAGAGAATGCTCACCAGTGACATCTCAGGTCACTTAAGGATTGGAGAATTTTTTTAACAAATTTTTTTGATGCCTTTTTCTTCCTTATATCATTGCTTCTGAGGTAAGTACCCTTTCCCTCATAGAACCCACCCTGGAATTAAAGAAATGCAGCTAACACCATTGGCATGTGTGTGACAGACAAGGTGCCATTCATTGCCATTGTTGCCATTGTCTCTGGGCTGAGAATAGGATAGTCACCCACTTTCTGTCTTCTGAAGGTGAGATGATGGCAGTGTAGATTTTTCAGTGTGGTTTTCCTTACCTTCTCATGCCATTGTTTGGATTCTTTTCTTCTTTCGGTTTATTTTTCCACTCACTTTCTCTCCTTTGCATGGGAAGCTGCCTTGGGATCTTTCACTTTTCTCTTTTGTGATGTTTTGGAAATGTGTGTACTTCAGTCTGGTGATACTTTTGACCATAATGACTCTATGTAGCTAAGGGATTGAGTTTTGCTAGTGGAGGTATTTGGATTCTTTGGACCCGTTATGACTGCTTTGTGTTGGTTAAATTTCTCTAAAAAATTGTTGAAAGATTATAGATACAAAACTGGAAGGGACATTAAAGACATTTAGTCTAACCTTATTTTATGGATGCTGCAAATGAGGCCCAGATTGGTTAAGGGACTAGCTTGAGGTTGCACAGGTAATAATTAGCATTTCCCATTTTAAAATTCAGTTTCTTTGACCCTAAATCCAGTGCCTTTTTCTCTCTAGCATACTGTCTCTGTAGTCACTGTCTTTACTTCTTTTTCCATCTGCATAAATGACAATGTAGGTAGTATGTCTGTATTGCTCCCTTGTTCATACTACTCTTTCATCCTGATCCAAACTGAGTTTTAAAAGATTTGCCAACAATTTAACTTTTTTTCTTTTTCTTCCTGCATAACTAATCTGAATACCTCTTTTACATAGCTTGATTTTGTACATAAACTGAAGCACAAGTATTATCTACTGGAACACATGTGGTTCTTGAAAAAGAAGAAAACTGAGATCTTAAATACTAACTTTTCTTGAGATTGTGTGTAATCTTGGTCAAGAATTTAGCTCCACTGCACATATCTTGTTTTATATGTAAAGTAGAAAGATAGAATATCTTTCCTTTGTGGCAGAAATGTTGAGAGAAAAAAGGAGATCATTTTAAAAAACATGTATCCTTAATTTATTTTCTGTCTTCCCTTATCCTCCCAAAGAAGCATTCACTTTAGTACATTAACACAATATTTTGCCGTGAATTAGTAACTAGCTTGAATTGTATGTACATAAAGGTCATACTGATTTTTATATTGTACTTAAGGTACCACTCACTACCTCTCTAAATCTGTATGTAACCTTTTTTTTTTAATAGGAAGTTGAAGCTATCAATCTAGAGCTAGAAGAACTCAAGAGAGAGCAAGGTACCTACAAACAACAATTTGAGGCTGTGAATGAAGCCATCAAATCTTATGAAGAACAAATTGGTGTCATGGCATCTGAGGTGGCTAAGAATAAGGTATGTTTGATTCATTCAGCAAACATTAAGCTCTTGCCCTGAAGTGTACTTGACTAGTTATGAGGAGAGATAAAGAAATGAGCAAGATTTGGTGCTTACCCTTAAGGAGTTTATAATCTAGGAAGTAGGCATGATAAAATATGCGTACAGATAACATAACATATAATACAAGAGAAGCACAAATACTAAGAATTCAGGTGAGTGTGATCCCTTCTGTTCTGAAGGGTCAGAGATAGCTTTAGAGAAGAAGTAGCATTTGCCTTGGGCCTTGAAAGAGGGGTAGGATTTCATCATGTAGAAATTACGGGTGGGGAATGTACCAAATACATAGGGAATGGACTCCAGAATGTGGAAGATCAGAAACAGTTTGGAGAATGGGGATTAATTTGGATTGACTGGAGCATATAAAGTATATTAATGATTGAATTGGAGAAGTCGTAAAGGCTAATAATAGTGTAATAGTTGTTTATGAAGTGACATGAGAATGGCTAAAATTAGCTTAGATGTGATTATCAATTGCTGTCTTATGGCTAGTTTCAATTTCTTCCCAGTCACTTAGTCTTTGATGAGAATTTTAGAGAAGATGATAGGTTATTGATCAGGAAAGATTTTTAGTATATTGTCTCTAAATACTAACCTACTGTTTCTTAGTTAACTTTACTAGGCAAATAAGTAAATCCAGGTAAACAGTAAAGGAATGAGTTTTTGTTCTTAAATTTTAAATAAGTTTAAGTATTTGTACCATTTGCTTAATATTCTCCACCATCCCGCAGATAATTAAAAAAAAGAACATAGTCATTTCTTTATTTTTAGGGTCCATATGTCACCCTAAAACTCTGGGAAAAAATTTAAGACCTACTTTGGAGAAGTTGTTTTATGCAGATGAAAAACAAATACCCCCAAACAGGTTTAGTTAGTGGGCTAATATCAAAAATTAAAGTTGATGTATCAGTTTGTCTTATTATCATTTGCTTTGTTTAAATTATGAACAAGTGAAAAAGTCTCTGGATCTAAGAAATTTCTTCCAGATAAGGTCTGAGTATGAGTTTAATTGTGTAAAAAAATAGCACAATACTAGGAATATGTGTTCACTTCTGGAATTCTTGCAGTGATAGTTTAGTTTCATGGACATCTGTATTTTTTTTTTTTTTTAAACTGGGTTAAAAAAGTCAACAGTTTATTTTAGTAGATGTTGTCTGACAGGAATCAGTGAAGAAAGCCCAAGAAGAGCTGACCAAGCAAAAAGAAGTGATTGCAACCCAAGATAATATAATTAAAGCTAAATATACAGAAGTGGCAAAACACAAGGAGCAAAATAATAATTCCCAGCTTAAAATTAAAGAGGTAGATCACAATATCAGCAAACACAAGCAGGAGGCTGAAGATGCGGCCTCAAAGGTATGTTCATTTTTCTGTTTATTTTTGATAGTCACATGGTTTACTCTGCCTAAAGCTCTTCTCCTTAGTCTACTTTTGAAGTTTAGTTCAGTTTCACATTTTACTCAGGGTAACAACCGTTTAACTGAGCTATAAATCTTTCCTCAGCTGCTTGAGTAATTTAAAATATATTGTTAAATATTTTTTACAAATTATTTTTTCTAATTGTGGTACTGACAAACATGTTTTTGTTATAAGAAGTATAACCAATTGGTTTAACATTGATATTTTAATTTTTAAGTTAATAAAAAACACTTAATTGGGAAATATTGGTCAGTAGCCTTAGTCCTGTACTGATCAATAGCACATCTTAAAATGAATACCTTGTGTCTTTGTACATATTAAGTACTTAAATATTTTTTGATTTTGTTAAAGATTTGTGTGTAACCACACACATCTACATAAGAAGATAATTAAATTAGTGAGTCAGTTCGGTGTAGGAGATAAAGAACTGGCCAAGGATACAGGAAGACCTGGGTGCAAGTGTCCCATCTGGCACATCCTGGCTGTGTGATCCTGGGCAGGTCACTTAACTTCTTAGTGTCCTAGGCAACTCACTGAGACTTTTAAGTGACAGAGAAGGTGCCTCCTTGCATTGATAGAGAAAGTTTCCTCATTTTGGGAGTTCCTTATCTCAGTGAAAATGCAGGTCTAGTTCTTATCTCTAAATAAGAGTAGAGGAAAAAAACAACACAGGTCCACATACCTCTATGTTCTCTGTGTTCTCCTAGATGTGTTCCTTTAGTATATATTCAACCTGAAAAGCAATCTTAAAATTTTTTCCAATTACTTTTTGAAAAAACATGAAGAAATGGAAATGTAGAGCATTTAAGTGACTTGCCAAAGGTAAAACAGTGGTCTTCTGAAATTTTTTTCAGGTCATTTTCTTTTCATTTCCTGTCATTTTATCTATCCCACCAAGGAAAATCATAGTTGAAATACTTTTAATTCTGCTGTGGATAATATTTTTCAAAAAATGAATAATTGTGTGGCATTTCCGTAGGCTCTGACTTATTCCAGAAAGCAATCTGCAGGGACTCTCATTCTGCTAAAAGTAGTCTTACAAATACTTAACTTGCTGTGATATGTGAAAGCAGTTGCTTTCCAGAATAAATCTAGATCACTATCTTCCTCCAAATCTTATTTACTAAATAACTTTGTATTTTAAAATATATTCTATTCATATCTTTGGTTTTTTTAAATTATTCACATTTACCAGTTTATCCCTTATAACAAAAAATAGAAAAAAAGCCAGTTCAGCAAAACTAACCAATATATGAAAAAAAATTTGGCATGTGCAGCGTTCTACACTTATTGTTTGTTCCCTACTTCTGCAAAGAAGTGAGGAGGTGCCATTTCATCATCTCTTTTCAGGTACCGGGTTTAGTCATTAACATTGTCGTCCTTTCTGCTTACTTTGATATAATCATTGTATATATTCTTTTTCTAATTCCGCTTACTTCATCTTGCCTTAGTTTATATATTGTTTCATACTCTTTTCTATCAATCATATTCATTGTTTCTTATATCAGTAATATTCTATGTGCCTCATTTTGTTTAGTCATTTCCCAATCAATGGACATCTACTTCCTCCCTCCCTCCCAATTCTTTATGATTATAAAAAAGTTTGGTGCAAATATTTTTTTCCTACATAGAGGTAGAATCTCTGGGTCATAGAACATAGTAATTTTATTTGCTTGCATTACTCTATAATAAAGAGTCTCTGAATATCTAAGATATCAGTTGCTATTTATAGATCCTTTTATAGTAATTCTTTATCTCCAGGTATCCAAAATGATGAAAAATTACCAATGGATAAATTCAGAGAAACACCTCTTTGGCCAGCCTGATACTGCTTATGATTTTAAAACTAATAATCCAAAGGAAGCAGGTCAGAGGCTACAAAAATTAGAAGAGAAGAAGGAGAAACTGGGAAGAAATGTCAACATGAGAGCTATGAACATGCTGACAGAGGCAGAGGAGCGGGTAAATATCTTTGATCTTAACATTTAATTACCTGAACAAGGAAAGCTGCCTGTTACCTGGGGAGTATCACGTGGCCCTTGAGTGAGTGGAATGCTTGCCACTTCTATCTCTATGCTAAAAACTCTGTGTGTGTGTGTGTGTGTGTGTGTCTGTCTGTCTGTCTGTCTGTATGTGTAGAAAGAGACAGAGTGTGCGTCTAGACGTCCTGTTCAGATGTCTTAACATGAATGATGCTTTCTCATGGTGATTATAAAATTGGCCTCAGCCATCTTGAAAATCTTCTAGGAGTCTTACAAAATCTTGTAGTTACTTAGCTTTCTGAGCTTAGTCTTCTCCATCTCAGAAGACAGAAAGTCACATATCTGAGTCTTACCATCAAAGAAAAACTTGATGCTAATATGGGAGTAAGTGATCATGTGCTTGCTAGTGTAGGGAATATAAGCACTGGGATATGTAGGCTAGACTTTAGGGAAGGAGACCTCTATTAAATTCAGAGGAAAAAGATGATCCTATGGCTAGCTATTTTAAAAAGGGAATGAAGTTCTGGTGATGAGAGAGTCTAAAAAACTGAAACTGCTATAATTTAAAATTCCTTGAACACTTCAGTATTTGTATTGTTATATGACTATCAGATAATACGGATGACATAGTCTTTCCTTGATAGGAGGTCACATTTAATTTCTACCCTTGTTTTTGGTTTTTGCAATAAGCCTTCAGGAAGGTTAGCATGTTTGGGAATGGAATTAGCTTCCAGTAAATAATTCAAACTTTAAGCACATGTTAGAAAGTGAGGGGAAGCCTTAATGATTTTTTGATGCATGTGTAAATATGGTGAGATGCCAGTACTTAATATATGATAGTGCTACCAAAACATACTGACTGTTACTTTGCCAATTCCTTTTTTTCCCTATTAGTATAATGACTTGATGAAGAAGAAAAGAATTGTAGAAAATGACAAATCCAAAATTCTTGCAACCATTGAAGACCTCGACCAGAAGAAAAACCAGGCCCTAAAAATTGCTTGGCAAAAGGTATTTTGATTCTGCTTATGTTATATAGATGTGAAAAGGATACAAAATATTCTCATGTGCCCATGCTAATGGGATGCTAAAGGGATCAGTGACAGAAATAATTTGAGACTGTATGATGACAGCCTCCGATATTCTCATACATGGCTATCTCTTTGGACCTAGACAGGTGTTGATATGTCCCTCTACTATTGTCTCTCGTAGTCTCTTTGTTGATTCTAATCAGGTTATGCTGTTTCCCCACTTTTGGTTGACTAGCTCTCTCTTTAATTATTTTTTACTTCCTACCTTACCTCTTCTATCCACATGCTCTCCTCCCACATCTTTCTCATAGCTGCAGACATGTAACCAAAATTGCATAGAAGTGATGAAAGGTTGCCCAACTCTTTAGGACTAAGAAGTGTTTAGACTTCTTTTTTAATGTTTGTGGAAGTCTACTGAACTTAATTCTGTGACTATGTGGAGGGAAAGGGATTCTGGGGACGGAAGGGAAGGTGAAGGGAGATATGTTGGAAGGGTTATTCTGATTGATATGGGCAGGTTTGGAGATGGAGGAAAGCTGTGAAGATAATCTGCTGTGATTTTATATATAGTGCTCCAAAACAAATGTGAATCAGAAGACAGGGTTGTTTGGTGAGTAAGATGGTATTATAGAAAGAACATTGACCTAGAAATAAGAAGGTCCAGCTAGTAAGTGGCAATGTGGTCTTAGGAAAATCATTTCACCTCCAATGGCCCTCATTTTATCACTATTAAATGAAGAGTTTGGACCAGATGCTTTTAAAAGTCCCTTAACTTTTTTAATCCTATCATCCACTTGAGAAGCACTGTGGCATAGTGGATAAAAAACTGTCTGGAGTCAGGAAGTCTTGGGTTCAAGTAACTTCTCTGACATATATTAGCTTTATGTTGCTGGGCAAAGCTTTTAACCTCTGAGTACCGCAGAGAACTCTCGAAGGCTGTAAGTTACAGAAGAACCAAGGGGTTAAAGGTTTCAAGAAAAGAAGGCAGTGTGCAGTTGAAATGGTTACACTTAAGGTTGAGATCAGTGTAGAAGAAAGTGAATTCAGCTCAGAAGTAATGGCTTGATAGAGTACTGAAGGGTAAGTAGGTTTAGGAGGGATAAGGGAGAGATGGAATAATATGTTATTTTCACACCCAAGGCTGTCAGAGATTTTGACCATGGAATGGAAGGGAACACAAAATGTTGAAATTCAGAATGTGCCCATCCCTGTGTTTGAGCTGGAGTGGAAGGATAGGTTAGAGGTTTTAAGGAGGTCAAAAAAACCCAAGCAATTGAGGTTATGTCATTTGAAGGAGTATCAAAGTGAATATTGAAGTCCTCTATTTTTTTAGTGAGGCAGTTGGGGTTAAGTGACTTGCCCAAGGTCACACAGCTAGTATGTGTCAAGTGTTTGGTCTGAGGCGGGATTTAAACGTAGGTCCTCCTGACTTCAGGGCCAGTGCTCTATCCACTGCGCCACCTGCCTGCCCCTGAAGTCCTCTATTATAAGGGCAGGAATTGGGAAGGAGGGAAAGACAGTGAACCAGGTACTAAACTTGAGAAAGGAGGAGAATGACCTGGGGGATTGGGAGACAACATTTGCCATGATCTGTACTGGGTGATAAATTAAGGGTCAACTTCATGGGAGGAGAGGTCGTAGAACAATAATGATAGAAAAAGTATGGAAGTGGCAGTAGAGAACAAAGAATATTCTGACTCCTGTACCAGAACCAGTGTGACCTGGGGGAGAGGGCAGGTATGAGAGAAGATGTACCCAGTGCTGGAGAGAATGACCAAGAATGCAATGTGGGGGATGCCATGTCTCTGAATACAAATAGATGGAAAGATTATAAGTGGGAGAGGTCCAAAATGAAGGGAAGTTTGTTAGTTATCAAAGGGAATTCTAGAAGGCATGGTGGAGGAGGTGAACAGAAATGGAGTGGGGCATGGAAAGAATAGGGTTGAGGAGTATGGGAATGAGAGAATAGAGGTTTGGGAGTAGTTTTAGGTAGTCAGTGATTATAAGATAGGGAGAATAGTGGGTGTCATGTGATGATCAGTGATGCAGTGTCAGAAGAAAGGAGGAATATGTGTGTGAGATTTTGGGGGCAGAACTTACTGAACTTGGCAACTGATTGGATGTGGGGGGGGTGGGGAGAGGGAAGAGTGTTAAAAATGACTGGGGTTTCAAGCCTGAGTTACTGGGAGGTTTTTGGTGGTATCAGTTATAGAAATGGAGGTTGAGAAAACAAATGGGATGGGAAAGATGCTGATGGTTTCATTTTTGGACATGTTAAATTTGAGGTGATAATGGGACATCTATGTGGAGATGTCCAGATAGCAGATAGAGATATGGGACTAGAACTCTGGGGAGACATTGGGGGTTAGATATAAAATCATTGATATAGAGATGATAATTGAACTCCTGGAGCTTGTCAAGGCAAATGCCATGTAGATAATCTTCAATGTGATTAGGGTACCTGCATCTGTGTTTACGTAATATCTCTTTTGTGAAGTGAAATGAGGACGATTAATGAACAAGGACATCTTTCCCTAAGCAAGTATGGATTAATTTTCTCTATAACATCTGAAGCTACTAGGAAAGATTTAAATTGTTAAACAGAACTGTCTTCGTTTTTTGTTAGCATCTAACTATGGTCTACTTTAGCAAGACTTGTGCTTATTCTCTCACTTATTGTAGCTAATTTTGGTAAAATCCATGAATACCATGGTAATTTTCTTAGTGAGGGATTTCCAAAAAATACCGATAATGAACCCAACCCCCCCCCCCCCCCAATTGTATTTGCTTTAATTTCTTTATTTTGAAAAAGACAAGGATTTAGAGCTAGAGAATGTATTTACTGTCCTTATTTAATTGGTAGCATATTGTATTGGTTTCACTGAGCTAATTTGGACTAGGTAGAATGTAGCTGCTGAATTTTATTCTGTATGATTTTTAGTAGCTTTTTGGTAAACATTTTACTGCTCTCATATCAAGGTGAACAAGGACTTTGGTTCAATTTTCTCCACTCTCCTGCCGGGTGCTAATGCTATGCTTGCACCACCAGAGGGACAAACTGTTTTGGATGGTCTGGAGTTTAAGGTTGCCTTGGGAAATACCTGGAAAGAAAATCTAACCGAACTTAGTGGAGGACAGAGGTAAGAGTTTTTTCCCTTCTTTTGTAATTTTTTTTTCCATTATAAATTTAACATTCAAATACAGAGAAATCACATGGAATGAAGCCTCAATTAAAACTGCAAAATCTGAACTGTTTACATTTTGATTTTTAAAAAAGAGAAGAAAAGAATTGAAAGGAAACTTTAAAAATAATAACAGTATATTAACTGTATTTACTTCTAAATTCCTTTATGTGTACTTTAGATATTGACATACCAAAATATACTGAGCCAGTGTTTTATAGTAACATTTTCCTTCTTTTCTCCTTTAAAATTTTTTTGTCACATCATAACTTTACATTTGAATGTCATTTTACTTGTCTTTAAATATTCTACCTATAGATTTGTTACATATTAGTTTTAATTTTTTGTAAGTTATATTTAAAATTCCTATATATCTTCCTTAAATTCTGAATATGAATTAAGGTTCTTAGTTTAAAATACTTAATATATTTGATAAAAATAAGAGGAGTGATAGAATTCTTGCTTATTTGTATTAGCTTCTTTTTTTCAGACAGTGGTGTCTCAGCCGTGTGAGAGATAGTGATAGCTAGGCAGAAGTTCATGATCTAAAGGGAAGAGTTAGGAACCAGAGACAATTAGTGGTTCCTACTGTAACTTTCAACTCTCAGAAAGAGGATATGTTGTTGTCCTAGCTGTACCAAAATGAAATCTCTGAAATGGGATTTGACAACCCAGAGCATAAGCAATTTGCATAAAGTAATACATGTTTGAAAGATGGCTCATGGGCCAGTTTTTCCTATCACCACCAGGAACTGTTGATAGCTGAGAGACTTAGTGATCATCGCTCATTCAGTTTTCTTCTCTAAACACCCTGTTCTTTCCCTAGATACTATTAGACCTTAGCATCTTGGTTGCTAGCCCTAATCTATGGAATGAATGAAATTTTTCTCAAGATATAGAGAACCTTAAAAAAATTAGAATCTTAAGGGAGAAGTAAAAATTCAAGAGCTTTATTCCTTTGCATAGAAATTGAGGCTCACTGACAGCTGTTGATGTGAAAAATGAAATATTAGGCCAGATACCTTTCTTTGAAAATGAAGAACAGTTTATAGAAACAAAGTGGAAAACAAGAACTTTAATAATCATTAAACTTTGAAATTTGATATTCCAAGAGATCTTGTTGCTACCACTTTCTACTTTTATCATTTGATATAATGACTGGCCTCCAGCCAGCTCCTCCGTTTGTATAAGTACTTGGAGAAAGGCACGTTTTTTTCAGTATTTGAGTAATTTAAAAGAAATATGATTTAACTATTTTTCTCTTTTTAAAAATAGGTCTTTGGTTGCTTTATCTTTAATATTATCCATGCTTCTCTTCAAACCTGCTCCAATTTATATCCTGGATGAGGTCGATGCGGCCCTTGACCTTTCTCACACCCAGAACATTGGACAAATGCTTCGTACTCATTTCACACATTCCCAGGTGAAACACTGAAATTCACTAAATCTTGAGCAATAAGTTTATGGAGTTTACCTTCCTTCCTTCTTCTTTCCCTCCCTCCCTTCCTTGTTCCCTTCCTTCCTGCCTTCTTTGTTCCCTCCCTTCTTTTCTTTCTCTTTCTGCAAAAAGTCAGGATTAGAATGTAATAAATGTGATTTTATTTAGACACATATTCAGAAGTGTTTCACATATCTCTTTTCTTCTTTTCAGTTTGTTGTTGTGTCCCTGAAGGATGGGATGTTCAATAATGCAAATGTTCTGTTCAAGACCAAATTTGTGGATGGGGTTTCTACAGTGGCCAGATTTACTCAGTGTCAAAATGGAAAGAACGTGTCATCTCAGCAGAAAGGGGACAAGATAAAATCCAAGAGCAGGGGGCCTAAGTGATGAAATATTGATGTCTGGAAGTACATTCATCTGTTCCTTACTTTCTTCTGTCTTTTCAATCTTAATGTTAATACCTTGGAACTTAAAGTTGAGTGTCCTGTCTGAAGTATACTTTTGCTTGTGTGGAACCAGGGAAACCCACGTTCCATTTCTTGTTTATACTTTTCCTTATTTTTATGATTCTTCCCTAAACATTTGAAAAAGTGGAGTGTTCGTAGAATCCATCTGTGGTGCTTTTGTATTATAAATAGAACTAAATAACTTAAATGTCAGTGTTTTAAGGCAACCCGCTTGGCTTCTGACGTGCTCATCTGTTAAATGAGCAGGGCACATCTGCTACTTCAAAAGGCCAATAACTTGTTCTTATTCTAATCACTTGACTTGAGTTTTGTCCTTTAAAAAAGGAAATGTAAGTGTATTTTTATGTTTTGATATCATGTGTACCTCTGTGAATATTTTCTTAGCCAGGATTTTCTCTTTTGGGGATACAAGATATGTTGAGTTTATAGATGCTAAATTCAAGAGCAAACCAGAATCAAGGATAAATAGAAAATATAGACAGTGAAAGGAAAAAAAAGCTGCTAATGTATGTACTGCTGTAAAGTAATTTTTATAAACAAGGAGAAAAGTAGAACAGATTTCTGAAGATTGGAAACAAAGCCTTTTTTATTGTACAGCTATTGTCACTTTTAATGTTTTTTACCTTGTTAATAAACCAAATATGGAAATATGGTTTTCTTAGAATTGAAGTGTGAAAAAATAGGATTTTGATAGTTCTTGGCCTATAGGAGGCAATCTTACTCTGATTTTCTTACCAATATTTATTTTTGTAACAGAAGAAAGAACTGATATTTACTTTTAGCCTCTTGTAATTTTTTATAATCTTTTAAGATTTCTTGGTTATTGGTTTTATTATAAACTTGAACAAAGTATTAAGATTTAAAAACTCATTAAGAATGAAGATATCTAACAAAACAACAGCTTTTCTTTTAAGTGGGAACATTTTGTAGTACATTTAATAGCTTGCCATTCTATCTAGAAAACTTAGGGCAGAGTCAAAGGAGAAGGAAGTAGGAAAGGAAGAAGTGCACAGCACTTGGCAGAGGAAAGCCAGCTAGCTGGAACTACTGTTAGAATCAGAATAGAAGCTTCTTGCTCTGTTCTCACCTGGGGGGAAAGCGAGAGTTAGAGTTCTCACCTTCAAGCCAGTATTTAACTCTGTAAGAAACTCCAATAGTTCCACTTGCTGATAAACTTATTAGCCTGCTTATTATTTATATGTTTCATTTGTTTAGGCAGGTGAAATTAGAAAATAATGGATACAACTAGCTGTAGGATAAGGATCCAGAGTCTACCCTGCTGATATGCCTGAGCAGATTAGGGAAAAACATAAATGAGAAGAGTAAATAGTGTGTCCCAGAAAAAAAAAATTTGAATTGGTTTTGTGATCATTGATAAAATTTTTAGTTTGTGAAAAGAATATATTAATTTGGGATGAAATTCTTTTAGACTTTTCTAGAAAGTTATTTTTTCACATTATTTTGAGCTCAATTCAGTGTAATTCAGAGGTTAAAGTTCCCAACTTTTGATCTTAAGTGTACAGATCATAATAGTTTTTAAAGTGGCTACATAAATGTATCTTACTTATGTAATATGAATCTGTGTGGTTGTATGAGGAAACAGAATGCCTTTATCCTAAAACTAAGTTTATAAACATTAATTTTTCTGGTCCACTTCATGGCAGCTGTACACTCAAAGAGGAAATAGCCAGGCCTCTTCCATTTCTAGTTAGCCTCTCTGAAACTCAGGACACTTATGTGAACAGTTTCTAATTGAAACATTGGGTAGATAGCTCCACGCTGTGTGCTTACCTGATTGGAAGGGCTTTTCATAAATGTGTAAGGACCCTGGATTTTAGGTTTGACTTTTTTCCCCTACCTTCTCTAGACTCTTCCCTCTTCCTCTACTTCTATTTTAATTGCCACATACTATCAATTCTACCTCTGAAATACCTCAAATCCTATCTGTCTTCTATTCTCATCATCCCAATACAGCCCTCATTACAAAGATGCTTGGACTATTACAATAGCTTTAAATTTTTTTTTTTTTGGTGAGGCAATTGGGGTTAAGTGACTTGCCTCGAGTCGCACAGCTAGTAAGTGTTCTGTCTCTGAGGCTAGATTTGAACTCAGGTCCTCCTGTGAGTTTTTTTATTATTCTTAAACTAAATTTTATTTTTTTTTCAATCAGCAAAAATCTGCCTTCTTTCCTTTTTTCCTGTCCACATTGAGAATGAAAGAAAAAAAAAACTATAGTCTAGCAAAACAAATTTTTACATTGCCTATGTCTAAAGTATGTGTGCGTGTATTTGGTGGGTGCTATGTATGTTTGTGTGTGTGTATATGTATATATTATATATGTATATACACTAATAAATGTATGTGTGTACATAAATATATATGTATATTGTATAATGTGTGTGTATATCCATCTATATCTGTCTCATTGTTGGTTTAGAAATATGGATTGCAAACTTCCCTTTGGTCTGATTTCTGCTCTGGTTATTCCTCTGCTTTAGACTATGCTAGAATTTGGAACTGAGATTCCGTTCTGTTCTTGGAACCTGAGCCCTACCACTGCAGCTTGTTTTTGCTTTTTCTTACTTCTTGCTAGCTATATAGCTCAGGACCTGCCACTACTCCTTACCCCAGAATGCCACCCATGGGTGCAGGTACCTTTCTCAGTTTGCCCTGGATCTGTGATGCAGGCCTGGGTGGTAGATGACAAAAGTTGACAGTTGGCATCTTTCTGTACCCCACATGGGTTTTTAGGCTCCTCTGCTCAATCTTGGAAACTCCTCCCACCCTCCCACCCCACTTGTATTGGTGAACTGCCTCTTCCTGTGTCGGAGTGTTTGATGCATTCCTGGGCAGACCCTGCCCCTACTGTCCACATACCTCTCTTTCCGGTTCCATAGGTTGACCTGGGTTGGAAAAATGATGCTAAAATTGTTTTTTTCATTTTCCTGTCAGGATTTGGTCTGATACATTTTCTAGATCTGTTCAGAGGAGTTCTAGGTAGGGGTGTGGGAGGGAAAGAGGGAGTAGTGAGAGCTTGTTCTTTCTGCTACTCTGCCATGGTGGTCTCATCTGAAAACTATCACAATAGCTTTTTAAATATGCTTCCTACTTCTTTCCCCCTCTCCTTCCTACCTTCCAACTGTATATGCTGCAAGATTAATATTTCTTAAGCAAAATCTGTTCTGGTTCTCCAGTAACTTCAGATTACATGCCAAATAAAATTGAAATACTTCAGTCTGGAACCTACATTTATGGTATTATCTCACACAACTCTTTTTTTACTTGTCTAGTCAAACTTTTGCATTTACTCATATTGTTCTCTATAACTGGAATGCTCTTCCCTGCTGCCCCCCTTCTTTGTTGCTAAAATTTCTTGAAGTGTTCTGTGATTCTGTCTCCCCAAGTAAATAACAATCCTTTCTCCAAATAACAGGCTTTTATTAAACACTTTAAATGCTTATTGTATGCTAGGCAGGGGAAACACTGTCCTAGGTGCTGGGAGCTCATAAACTTGACTAATGCTTACACAGTATCCTTTTCTGTATGTGTCCCAATTCCCCCTATGAGATTGTGCACTCTGAAGGCAGGGACATACCATAGCAAATGTATCGTATTCTCCTCAAAGTAGATGTTTAAGCTAGAGGGTAGGACTCTTTTTTTTTTTTCTTCTTTGTGTCTGCAGCAATTAGCAAGGGATTAATAAATGCTTGCTGATTATCTTCATTTAAAAGGAAAAAAAAGCATATTGCACCAATTTGGTTATCCAGCATTTAATTTATATCATTTTTGGTGATTGGGATTGGGGTGTTCTCTTACATACATTAACATATTTTGGACATCTGAACATATATAGATAGCAGTGAGTCTAGGAAGATTTTACATTTAGAAATCTTGTTATATATTCATTTAAACAATAGCTCATATCTTTGAACAAGTGCTAACATCAAAATTACAGTTTTTGATTGTTTCAGAAAACTGGATCAGTGTGTGTTACACTAAATAATTTGAAAGTCAGAAAAGGAATTTTTGACTCTATTCCTGTACTTCTGAGTTTTCTCCCTTCAGACTTGCTTTCATGGTAAAGGTTAAAAGAATCCATCAGGAAAAGGAGAAAAAGGGGTAAGAAAGGGACTTTTTTTCTAAACTTTTTATGACTCAAGTAGCAAACTTTTTACTTTGAAAACTAGGTCATGGGCTAGTATCTGTTGCCTTCTTAATCACTGGAATCACATCAGACAACACCCAACTGGATCTTTCGTGCCTTTTTGCATACCTATATACATCTACCAGTTAGTATTTTGTATTTGCTATTCTTATCACATGCCACTCTTTGAAATCGCTTGACTAATTTCATTTACACTGAGTTTATTGGTCACTGATTTTATTGTTATATTACAGGACCCATACAAAAGGACATGAATGATGATTATTAGTAGCTTTAGTTTTCAGGTTCAGATCAACAAATGATATTTTCATTGAGAGAATGTTTACCTCTAGGCAGGAGTGTGCTGGTAAATGTTTAACTACATTTACAGGGGAAATATGCATAACAGACTTTTAGTTTAATCTGCATTATTAACATTTTTTCCATCACTTTCTTAAGTCTAGGTAATTAACAATACAGTAAATCAAACTCTGGTTTGTAGTGTTTGCTAATTTCTGAGGTGTAAATGGTCACACCAAAAAATTTAATGATCTGTTCTGAGCCATTTGGTTTCAGCATACCACTGTCCATAGGCACACAATGGAGGCAGCTTTTGTTCCTAAGGGAAGGAAAGAAAACACCTCGTGAATTATTTTAGATCAATTTTGACTAGATTCTATGAGACATGAGAATCAATTGAAAGAAAACTTGTTTAGATTGGGGGTGGTGGTGGAGGGGTTGGGTAGGATAGCTATTTTGAAAGGCTATCACTTGGAAGAGATATACTTGATCATGGCCTCAGAGGGCAGAACTGAGTCCATGGATAGAAATTAACAAGGCAAGTTGAAGCTTGTTGTAAGGGAAAATGATTCTAAATGATTAAAGAGATCCAAAAATTGGAATGGGTTGACTTGAAACAATGGTTATTGCATCACTTCCAGCAGAGGCTGAATGACTATTTGATCATTACATAGAAGGTATCCCTGTTCTTGTATATGTTAGACTAAATAGAGTTTAGCTTTTCCAAGTTTAAGACTTTAGCATCATGTCTGAACATGCAACTGTGGCCTGGGTTTGGCCTCCAAGCCAGGCTGATACATGATCACCAGGTGCAACTTGATCACACTTCAACTCCCTACTAAGAATATGTGTGAAGTTTTAGAGAAATCTGAATAAGATCAATAAAGTAAACCTTCAATCTGGTAAACAGTTTGGATATATGTGCATACACATAGATTCCAGGTGAAGGTAAGAAAAGACTTCCTAACAATTAGATTGCTTTGGGAATTAATGGATTTCCTCTTAAGGAAAAAGTAATTCTTTTTCCTCTGGACAAATCTTTATTGAGGATTTTCTAAAATAAAAATTATGTGAGTTTTGGTTCATAAGTGTTTTATCACTATTCATTAGAACAATGACTAGGATTTTTTCCTAAAATTGATTTTTTAAAATCAAGAGTACTAGGTACTTTAGGTTCTTGAAAGTAGCTTCAATGTGACTACAC